GACGATGCCTGAATTTATGAAAAAAGATTATGATCTTTTAACATATTACGAAAGATAAGGAATGATACAAAAATGTCTTAACTCCGCAGAGTTAAGTTTTGAGAGATTATTTGCTCGAAAAAATCAATAAATATGGCCAGAATATAGCTGGCTCTTATTTTTCTTGCATAAAATCACAATTGATAATTTACTTTGGATAAATGACTGATTGAAAAGTAATTTTAGATATTTTGGGTAATAATATTTATCCAATATTTTGGATCAATCGAATAAAAAATTTATTTTGCATTTATTAATTTCTTTTATTTATTTGCAAAGTATTTTATTTAGTTAACTAATATAAATGAAAATAATATTTGCTTCTTAAATTATTAATTCAAAAATTAGTAAAATAAATATAAACAATGATAATAGCATAATTTATTTAAATGAAATGAATGTGACAACTTTTGCATTGCTTTTTTTGTCGAAAATATGAAATACGACTGATTTTATTTAGGAGGACAAATTTCTCCAATATCTTTTGACCTCTGATGTTCCAGTTGCTAATTTAGTTACTTGATTTAATTGATCGCTCTATTTATTATATTTGTATTAGTGAAAGCTTTTACTGAATTATTTCAATTCTACAGTAGTAGCAAGATTTCAGTTATCTATGTGAATAATTCATAAATACTTCACTACTTGCATTTTCTTGATTCCAATCGCCCTGATAATTAAATTAAATTAATTGAAAAAATTTTCGGCACTAATTAATTTCAATCTTTTATTAATTGAATTAACGGAAAACTTTCACCGAATCATAGGAAATATTAGAAATTAAATTGTTCATAGAAATTTTGTGATGATACTTACGCTCTGCAATCAGACATATGAGCGACTGCTAGTAGTACTACTTCATCAAGCTTACATTGCAGCACATTGACATTGACTAGTTAGTTAAGTAATTTGCCTGGAATATCTGAACTTGGCCTTTTAATAAAGTATCACAACATTAGGATTATTACATGTATTCTTAATTGACGTTAGCGATTCCGGATAATATATGTAGACAAATTGGAATGCATTGTCCAGATGTTATCGTTATAAGTAGCTCATCTCATGGTAATACTGGGAGCATTCAGTCAACTTAGCCATAAACAAATTTTCTGAAACTATTTCATGATAAAAGTCCTCTGATTATTTGGTTTTATCAATCCATTTTTTTAGATTCATCAACAGTTTATATTTTCCAACATCAGCTCGTCATTTTGTTTTAGCTTGTTTCAAACTTCTATCACTTTAAGCCAATCGTAAGTAAATTTTGTCGCTTCGACATTGCTGCAATTTTTAAAAGTAAATTTCACACGATGTGTATGACTTAAAAGCTTAGGCAAATTTACTTCCGATGTAAAATATAACGACATATAATAGGAAAGTACTTGTTTCAAGCTCTTCCTAATCTTAATTAGCAGTTTTCTGAATATGCTTTTTCAATTATCCTACGCATTGTGCTTTTAAATAGCCAATTACTATTGGTAATAAAGTGAATGAATTAAATGTATAAAAATTTATGAATCATTTTCTGATCTCAATAATTTTTGCAATGTTTGCTTCTCAATGCAATGCCAAAAAGAGCATTCATCTTACCAGATTAGAAAACTAAAATTTTCCATAAATTGAAATTTCAACTTATGAGATGGTTGTATTCAGTAAATGGCCATAACTATAAGGAAATTTAAAGCTTTGGCTCATAAGAATAAAAGATAATTATCGGGTTTGGTATTTGTGGCAGTAATAGTAAATAGTAAGAATAATTGTCCTAAAATAAGTATTTAATATGGTACGATGAATATGAAATCAGGTGACTTATTATTTTTGGAATGATGCTGCGATATTTGCTTCAAAAATTCATCTTCGATGACCATTGACCTATCGGTTTCACTGAGATTATTCATTAACCTATCAGTACAAAGCTGAGATAATCTATTCCATTGGGTACCGTAGCCTTTAATACAAGCAAATTAAATATTCAATATTGAATTTTAACTTATAGCTGAATACAGTAACACACATTTCGACAATGAACGATTTATTTGATTTTACCAAAACAACTTTCATCGAAAGAATAGAAAGATTTGCTATTTCCCGTCATTTCGCCATATAATATGGACAAATAAGTAAAAAAGACCGAAAACTTAAGGCCTTAGCTTATAAGAAATTGTCAGGCCTGCTAATTTCACAATGGGCTGCTAACAAATAATCCTCAAATGACACTATGAAATTATTGGACCTGTTAGTTTTTGTTCAGCTATCACATTGCTATTCCTACGATATGGTAACCTTTCTCGACGTGATACGTGTGGAAATTTTCTATACGTGCAGATCATACATGCACGTAAATAAGGCTACAGTAATATATGAGTGCATGCAATATTACGTTTGATTTCTAAGCATTGTATGCTAAGATATGCTTAAGTATTATAAGATAAAAATGTTAAAAATCAGTAGATAGTTCATTATTTACATGAATGAGTTATTCTACTTATTGTCTTTATATTATAAGATTATTAGGTTTATTTAATTGGTATAATATTAGGTATCTAACATTATTAGACTATTTGCTTGATATAATGTTAGCATCAAATATAAATCTATTAATTTATTACAACTGTAATAACAACATAAACTGCTGTAAGAATTGATCGTTCTCTCTTATCATATAATTATATTTTATAGAATCCTCCTTTTTTCTCCCTTAATCTATCATTAGTATATTCTGAGATGAAACTTTATTTTACTTCATACAACAAAGATATGTTGTCATTAAGCATTGAAAGCATTGAATCTTTAACAATTAAAGTATTTGATATTGTAATTATTAAATAAAAGTTTTATGCAACAAATAAAATATTATAAATTCGTTGTGCACATCCCTCTTTTGTTAGAATGAAAGAAAAAGCTGTCAAAAATTTTAGTTTATTTAATCGTTAAATTTTTTCTATTTCAAATATATTTGTTTTGATTTTAATTTACAGAATCTCTCGCTTCTTTATCATTTGGATAAAACAAAAAATAAAGGAAATTTCCTTTTTGAAATGTCAAAAAATTTGCTTTTTTCTTCTTCCGCCAACAAAATTTCATTTCATTTCCTTTAAAACAATAAAATAAAATCAAAATAAAAATTAATAATAAAAGTTTTTATTTTAAAAGAAGAAATTTCTTCTCTTTTTCCTTTCATCCTTTCATTACTGTCAATTCTCATTTCCCTTTTTTTATTAAAATAAAATTTCATTTTTCGAATACCATTTAAAAAGTCAAAAGTTATGATTAGCTTTATGTATTTCCCTCTTCTTCTTCCTCTTTGATGTTGAATAGATAGATGCCAGTCAGAAGAAATAAAGCAAACATTCATTTTTCCTTTTTTTGCATATTATTACTTTTAGAATATGGGAAAAGTTTTCAAATGAAACAAACAAATAAACAAACAAACAAACAAACAAAGAAAAAAAACGAAAAATTGTTAAAATCTTGGATTACGGTAGCACAATTACTTGAAAGGTCATTTTATTCGTAAGAATTTTTCATTTCACTCATTAAATTTGCAAAAAATTTCAGTAGCACAATATTTTTGGATAATTCAAGAAGAGGAAATGTTAGTGAATTCATTCTATAAAACGAGCTATTGTATGAAATTTCAAATTTATGCTATTGAAAACGCATATCACCCTGAAATTGCTAAGCCTTCCTTCCGCAATCTCATAAACTATTAAATAAATAAATAGGCAAATTTAACCTATGACTTTAAGTTTCTATCAGAGATTTCATTGATCCAATAGAAGCACAATTTGACAAAATTTGATAGATTATATCAGTCTATATTATTATATTATAGAAACCTATGTTATAGTCAATTACAGATAATTAACATTATTGCAATGGATTTATAAGAGTGAAAAATTGACGATAAATACAACAACATAACATTCATCAATTGCAATTTAAGCTTATATTTTCTTATTAAACTGTCAATTCATAGAAGTAACTTAGATAGTTTATTAGATTAAATGTTGCAAGCATCTGTTAGTGCTACTATGGAATTTATTAAAACCATGTAAGAAACTGCTTATCCTGAAATTGCCCATATGAAAATTGGGACTTTGGTTTTTGCCTAATTTTAAGATAGTTATCTGTTTTCAACTGATAAATAATCGAACTTACGGTTATGAAAATATGAATCTAGCTAAAGATTTACCTTTTGATAGAGTATGAAAAGAAGGAAGTAAGATGAATTGCTAGGCCTTCTAAACTGTTAGCCTAGTCTCTTAAATCTTTTGAGAAAATAATTCACATCTTTGAATACATCTTGTTCAAATAAATTAAATCATAGCAATTCTTAATGTTTGATTATGATTGATTGACAGTTCACAGATTACTAAATAAGCTTCTAAATTAACAATTAATGATTCGTTAATTGCTATCAAAATTACAATTTCTGTCAATGATCATTGCCATAATCATTTGTTTGTTTATTTATAAAATTATTTAAGCTCCAAGTAAATGAATTTCTATTATTTCTTCTAGAAATTTATTGTAAAACTTAATGCTAATCTAAGCTTAAAGGTTACTGTTGTAACAAATGATTTATGAATAGATATTTGACAAGCATGTGTTCCTCGAAACAAGCCCAGATGTTAGTTAATTCCAGAGGATTTCATGCAGCAACTTTGAAAACATATGAGCCAATTAATTGTGATTATTTAAGTATCAGGAAATTAGTAGTTAAAGACTATTTGGCATGTGAGAGTTTTATTTCTTCATCAATGATTATTAATCCATTGAGATTTTCAACTAAAATTTTAGTATTTTTTTGGCAGTGAAAAATATGGCTTATCATCTGAAACCAAATCTTTTTTCATTTGGTAATTGATAATACTAATGAATTTGAATATGAAAAATATTAATTAATTGCTTTATATTAATCATTAATTGGAGAATTTGCATATAATAATGCCTAGTAATTAGGCAAATGCTTCTCCTTCAGTGTCGCCAGATTTGTGAAGTATGGCAGTAATATATGCGAAAAAAACATTTCTCAATTTTATGGAGCTCTTTGGTAGCTTCACGGTATCTGTGGAATGGATCAAGATATCCCCTAAATATGCATTATCGTTTTTTAATAAAAAACTTTATTCAGCGAAAACAATTAAATGGCAGATTTAATGTAAATCTAATGAAATGAACTTCGTAGTACTTTTTTTGAACTATAAAATTGATTACTTCCAAATAGCAAGTCAGGTAGTGCTTGAAATCGTAAATCAGATTAAAATTAACATGCATTGTTTTCTTTTCACATCATCTTCTGTTACATTAAATACCCTGAAATAAGTTTTTATCAAATAAGCTAAATTATCAGAATATATTGAATGATTCGGCAGACTAATTGTTTACACCAAATTCCAACTCCTAACTCTCATGTATTTTATGATTTCAAGATGAAAATCGGTATTTCCCGAAACCTTAACGATGACTGTTTTTCAAATCTCATAAGAAATGTGATGATAAGGTTATCATTAACAATCATTGCTACATTCGTAGTGGTAGAATGATGATTTTAATAAAACAAACCTCAAATCTGTTTAGCATTTGAGAAAAAAACTATTAATGAAAATTCAAATCAAATGGAATAAAATATGCCTAATTTCTTAGTAGATATATTCAATTAATATATTAAATTCTTATTGTTATATGAAATGCTATCGAACAAAATCGTTGAGAATAGAAATACACTGAACAATTCAAATTCGTGGGAATCTTATATTAAAAAACAACCTGGCAAACTTTTGATTTATAAAATTGTAGAAATTTTTACCAATTAAAATTTAGGCCTTATTTGATATGTCAGAACAGATTTTCAAGTTTGTCAGATAAGAGTGAAATAAAATGTTAGAACTGCCATATTTTGTCATCATAACAATGTAACTAGTCGAAGAAGTTTATACTGGCAGGGATATTATATTTTCATATTCAACTGATATTTCAAAATTGAGATTTGAGATAATCACTTCATTATTATCATTATTAATTTACTTATCTGTTATAATGTCTTACAATTTAAAAAGAGATTATCTCGTTCTATGAATGATAGAAATAAAATTTTGATAAATTTTAAAAAATTGTTAAGTTTTCTTTTTTTTACAAATTATGGATGAAATATATAAAAAATGCTATTCTTCATTATTCCGTCCTTTATTATATATTAAGAAACTCTACGCGACTGAATGATTTCAAATGGCACTAATCGTAATTTATGCTGAATTAAATGGCAATATAATTAATAACAATAATAATAACAATAATAATAACGATAATTATAATAATAACAATAATATGGATAAAGTATATGAAAAATGTAGGAAAAAATGACGATACGATGAGAAGTACGGAAGAATTGAACCATTGAAAAGAGCACATAGACGTTATGAACGCGTTTACCCTTCTTCTCCAAATACCCGACTTTCTGTCCTTTCAAACTTGGTTTATAGTTGTGGTAGTTACCATTCCTTTCTTTTTTTCTACCACCCCTTATTTGATTGACCTTATACTATTATTATCATAAACTTTACAAGCTATCCTATCTTTCCTTACTTCTTATCCATCAGCAAAGAGGACGGTTCATTTCTTATGCAACGGCAGTAGCCGTACCAGCAAGCAATATAGCAAAAATTGCTGCTGCAGCAATAGCACTGCCATCATCATCATCATCACCATCACCATCATCATCATCACTATCATCATCTTCATCATTATCATCATCATCATCAACCATCACTCGTTAATAATGATAGTATACTGTATATGGATAAACATTTGTATTTGTTTCAGTTTTATCCCATATATCTTAACATTCAATTCTAAGGATTTATCAGTGTGTTATCAGATTACATTTTTTTTTCATTAACTAAATAAGGATGTTATTAATTAACAATTCCAAATAAATGCTCAAATTTTTCAATTAATTTTATTTTTTTATAACTTATTTTGTTCATAAAATGGGCCCAAAAAAATATTTTATATTTTAAAAGAATGCTTTTTGATTTTGAAAAAAGAAATTAAAGATATATTGTTTTATAAAAACAAAAAAAAGAAGCATAATTTTGTTAAATTTTCTAATTCAAATAGCATTCTGAATTGTATTGGCATGAATTTCAAGGAGAACTGTCAAAAATAATTATTATCAAAATATAATGGCAACATTATTAAACACTTTATTCTTCAAAGACTACTTTATCTAAACTTACTAAGGTGCACATTTGAATTTTCGCTTGTTTGGATTTGAAACTTATCTTATGATATGATTTCTCAAAGTAAACTATGGTAGTTTTCCGACAATTACTGATATATTAATAATTTACGATAGATTGTGTGAAATTTTATAAGGAGAAAGAATTAATTTCATAAGTTATCTGCATTAAATATTATAGCGAGAAGATTTAACTTTTGAAAGGGAAAAAAACATGTCGTCCATTTTTCTTATTTGAACTTTGTGGCGCGAACTCTCAGTCCATTGGTGGCCAGGAGAGCTTTAGACCCTGCACAACAACGATATTTGGTAATTCTCTGCTACCACACCCCATTTCCCCACCCAGTCATTGAGTACGGTAGCATTGCAGTCAAATCTTATTAAATGCAAATTGATTATCATTGTGAAATTTTTTTTTCCTGGCCGAACTTCTCAATACATTTTGTGTTACTATTTAACGGTTATGCATTCTATTTGACCCTCTGTTTTTGGTAATAATTCCCATTTCCTTATTAAATTCGGATATCTTGTCCTGTTTTATAATGAAGAAATCGGTTCGAAAATAGTATTAGGCCTAATGGATCAGTTTGGCAAAATTTGTATTTAATACAAAAATTTGTGATATAAATAAATAAAAAGTTATCTTAAAATCTAATCAAATTTCAAAAAACATTTAATTAGATTAACAATTAGTTTAATAACATTTAATTAGATTAATAATTAGATTAACAAATGGCTAAGTTGTAAAATATTGTAATAATTTGTTTTTGAATAATTTTAATTTTGACCTAATTTAAAATAATTTGTGTCATTTTAATATGAACTTTATGCTATTAAAATTAATTTATGCTAAGTAAGATTGGGAAAACTGTTGAATTTTTATCAAGAATTTCAATCAATATTTGAATTTATCAAAACTAAGAAGTTAGGTCAAATTTTTTCACCACATTTTGATTGGCTATTGTTTCCTTTGTAAAAAGCCAAGATTGCAAAAAATAGCCTTATGTTTTTACTTTTAGAAGTGAGTATAGTGGAAGAGAATCTACATTTCTCATATGAAAGTTAATATTTACCTGTATCTTCTTTCATTTCCATAAAAATTTGATGCTTTGAATTACATCATCTCTTTTAATAGGCTTCAAATTATTTAAAATTTTCGACATATCGAACATTTCAAATTATAGCGAAATGTTGAAGAAAAACGCGTTTTAATCTTTTCTATCTTTATTTCATTTCATTGATTGCACGATAGTTTTTGCTTATGTTGCAGTATTTCACAACAATTTTTTTAGTTTCTTAAATTTGATTTAGGATCGGTGAAAAGCAAAAAAAGTATCGATAATTATTAATAATCAACCATTTAAACAATTTCTGGAAGAAACAGATTTGGATCTTGAAAGGCTACTGAATATGTTCGATGTATCAGTAAGTGATTATTAAATCAAATGAAAATAAATTACTGTTTATTAATTACTTCAGATTTAAAATTTAAAAATCAGTATTTATTATAGTTATATCGATCTGTGTAAATTTATACTACTGCTTTTCTACCGACAGTAATTATATGCTGTTTTTTTTTGATTATATATACTGTCTAACCAACCGGATGTGGTTTGAATTAATGATTAGGCGACTAATGTGAAGGTTCTTTCTCATAATAAGTGGTGCTTAGCCATATCCAACGGTGTAGTTTCCATCAGTGTAGTAAGCGATATGCCATATCTCCGATCAGTTTTGGTATTCTGATATTTATATTGTACAGATTTATGAATAACCGAGTACCAGTAATTTTATTAGTTTTCCAAGACGAAATGTTTTTTATTTCTGCAAATTACATCTTTTGAATTTCCATTTGTTAATATTTCCTTCGTATTATTATTACTTTTGAATTTAGTTTTTTCTAATTCGATACTTCATTTATCTTGAAGGTGATAGTTATCTCTAACAATTCTAGTGTGGTAAGATTATTGAAGAATCTCAGAAATTATTTCTATACTTTCTTTTCTGCAAAAATTCTAACGACACTGATAAGCCAAAAATGCTACATTAATAAACTAAAAATTTCAATACGTGAACTTTTTTTGCTAAAAAAAGTAATTTTATTTGCAACGATAGCAAAATACACTTTGGAATCAAAATTGAAAACATATCGTTCTAGAAATTTATAATCTACAACATTGCAACGCACACTTTAGTTAAGTTCTTATAAATTACAACCTAGATTGAAAATGATTATATCCGCAAGCTTTATGCTAATAATTAGCTTGTCTGTCTTTGATAATTAATAATTTTTATTTTCCACAGAAAAAGACTGCATGACTTGTATTTCAAGGTCTTCTTCATTTTATCTCAAATTCACTACTACATACAAGTTTTTTGACTAAATAATGATGAGAATATAGGACATATTTTCGGAAATTTTTCAAGTGGATAAAAAGTACTGCTATACATGGTTTCACCAAGCAGAACTAAAATAACAGATAATCTAACTAACCGGTAGGATAGCAAAATGCTGTTATTTAAGCATTGGCACCTTTTTCATTAATACCATTTGTGAATGAATTCTATATAGCAAATGGATAAGTTACATTAATTGTTTTATAATTTAACTAATATTTATTTCATTTTAAAATATTACGAAGATTGCAATACTATTCGTTTTTGCACTAGATCACATTTTCTGCTATATTATTTGTAAATCTGATTTTACTGCAAGCTTTTGGAAATACAACTTACTGCAACTTCAAATATTTATTTAATTTTAGTAAAAATCATTGATTTATTTTGATTATGGAATTATGCAATTTAATTTTAAGCAGAATAAAATGTTTTTTTTTCCTGAAGAAGGAGCATAGTTTTTACCTTCATTTAAATCAGATATCTTTCAAGACTAGCTTGCAATGCTAACATGTCATTGCTGTCGTAAATGATCATTGTTCTATTTACAGCTAATTCTTATAATTTTAATCTTCTCCAAGACTAGAAAAGCAAATTAGCCAGTGGTTCTTAACAATTATAGACAAATTTTGACAGTTTTAGTCCCTCAAATGTTATCACACCGTAGCCAAAAAAATCGCGTACATTGTTTATTCATATTTATTAGTCATTAATGCGCAGTAAAAAATAGGTAAAGGAGAAGTACGAAGGTGTAAAGCTAATGGATAAATAGCTCATAACGATCCTATCTCAAAAAATTACAGGTTAGAAGGAAGAGGAGGAAGAAGTTTGTGCGATGAGTGTTGAACAAGCTTACCCGTCCTATCACTTATTGTTCATAGGGAGCAATTAGTCATTCCGATAGGTTTTTCACATTAAAAAAAATATACATATTATGGGTAAGGGGGATAGTTAGTTCAGATATGCGCCACGCGTATTTCTTCCAATCCTAATTTTAATGAAAATAATTTAAGGAAAAGTGTAAACTTTTTACTAATTTCAATTTTGACTATTTCAACTTTTGTATTAAGAAATGACATGTTGCAAAAACTTGATGAAAATGTGTTATCATACATATATTGATTGTTAACCTTAAAGTTTGACTAAATCATTGCTTTGTACATCATTAAAATAATTCACTTTATAGTGCAACTGTTGTGTAAAAAGTTTATGGCACCATTTCTCGTAGTATAAATTTGTACTCCATGAAGCTTATAATTTCGTAGAATGTTAATTAAATTGGCCCTGTTTTGTTAGTGCAAAAATGCCGATACAATTAACCTTAAAAATATTGGTAATGCAAATGTAGTAGCTATTTTGAATGGTTTATTATCCAATGGAAATAATTCAAAACAACTTTGAAATTAAAGTTTAATTTTTTTACATTGTTATGACATAAAAATGTGGAAGTAATAGTTGTAAGCGCAATTTGTGGTAACATAATAATAAATAAATGAAGGCGGAATTTGTCATGCAGCTTAATTAAATTTCGTAATGAGCATTAAGAATGATAATATTAACAGTTTGCGGTATTTTCCATAGAAATATTGCTGTGAGGAGAAAATAATTGCATGCATGGGCATTGGTTTCTCCTTGCTATTCTTAGTGGTATATTTTTTTAATAAAGCTACCCGTATGTTTTTATGCGCTTTTGTGTTTGCTCGTGCATCAACGTATCGTTTACTTTGTAAATATTGCCTTAATAATTGAATAATTTTTGATTTCAGTGAAGGAAAAATAATTATTTGAATATTTATTAGGCAACGAAATCTAGCATGATGAGGTCGTTTAGTAAAGAGCACTTAATGAGACAACTGATCTGTTGGCGATATATATATATATGTGTGTGTGTGTATGTGTCGTTTATTTTTACCGATTTCTATTAGAATAAAATAGGCATTATGAATAATGTGTTATGAAGAATACTGAAGATTGCTTTCTCCAGCTATCACATCAGGCTTTATCAACTGATAGAAATAATGACGTGATGAGATCACGTGATGAGACTCTTAAGATTTTTTAATTATCAACAATATGGATTTTAGATTTCGGCCTCTTTTAAGTGACTACTTAGATATTTGGCTCAAATAGGAGTAATCCCTCATCACTAAGTTTTTTTTATTATAAGGAAGAAGACGGTGAATTCTGAATGATACCTCGATCATTAGCATAAATGGATCATGCAAAGTGATCACGATAAAGTACTGTGGTTTGAATAGCTTGCAGTAGTGCAGAAGGCCATTCTACAGTGATTGAAATCAATCCTCTCATATCATCTCACTTCAATATTTTTAAATGATAACAGCAAGATTCGTGAAAAAATGAATCCTTTTAATAATTTCATTTAAGTTTAGCAATGAGCAACACATACAATAGTAGCAGCTGTCAATTCAAACAAAAAAAATTGTTAATAGAACTATTTCATTGAGTTCAGTGGATGTGTGGACGATATCAACTAAAACATTTGAAGAAACAATTTTAGGTACCGTAATGAAATTCAATTACATTTATTTAAAATTCCTCATTGATCTAATTTCAAATTTCCAGTTTTAGTTTGCGCTTATTTACCTTCTGCATTTTTACCTCAATGACTCATATTGTTCCAATAATTTATAATTCTTTGTTAATTGCATAAGAAGCAATATTTGAATTATATTTTGAATTCTCAGATTTTTATGTTTACTAACAATTTTTTGATCATGTTTTCTCTTTTTCTTTTAAAACGAAATCTAATTCGTTGATTTGCTTAATTAGTTACTTGATGAGAGTTAATTAATTAATTAAAGTTGATAAAATGATTAATTGGAATTGATAATTCTGCCATGTAATAGCCTCTTTAATTTTTTCTGTTTAAAGAAATTAATTACCGAATTAGTCACACCTGCTCACGTTTTTTTATTTTTTAACTTGGAGAATCTTCGGGTTGAATCAGTTTTTTTACAAGCAAGTACAATGACTCCAATAAACTTCAGAGCAAACTCTATAAAATTTTTAAACAACCTAAAAAAGTTAGTGGTAATCATTCAGTAAAATTCAGAAAACAAACATATCAATCAGTTCAATTATTTTTTGGTCAAGGACTGCAAATTTCTTTCAGATAATTCAAACGTCCCATTTTATAGTCTTCAAACAATTCTGAACCTAGTTGCGAAACTAAGAATGATCAGAGATCATATTTAATTGTTTTTGCTGTAAGCAATTCACATATGCTCCAAAACAGTAATTCAAAAATTTCCAAATGGTTGACTGTAGCTGTATTTTCATTTATTTCTTTAGTTGTATTTTCATCATTTGCTTTGCAATTTCTAACTTTAAATTGTACAGAAATCGAATTTTTATCTTGTCATAAAAAGACTTAATATTATGATACAGCTAATTTAAATTGGTAGAAAAATATCAGTTTGCTGTTTCTTAAATCTAAAATTATTTCAGCAGTCTCTCGAAGTGAAACCACTTTCTTGGACAGGTCGTTAGTTCAAGTTTAAAATATTGCTTTATTCAACTTATATCGCTTTATTTAACTTCGTGAATTCGGCGAAATTGATAGAAAAAAATAAAAACTCTTAGAATTGTGACAAAAGGCATTGCCCTACCACATGGTTTTTACATATTATTTTGTAACATTTCATTATTAAGATACAGATGTAATAGATATCAATGATTTCATATTAACTTATATTTCATATTAAAATCGATTTCATGTTAACTTGTAACAATGTGATTCGATAAGCACTTTGCCGATTTTGTGCTTTTTACTTCCAACCTTTTGAATAAGTTTTATTTTATAATAATTCTCCAATTGAAATGAAATCTTACTGTGGTCCAAGTGTTTGCAAGGGATGCAAATATTTCTGCATGGAATTACTTGTTGCAGTGACATTCTGTTTTCAGTTGTCGAGAAGAGAATCCTATTTTATTCAGCTCTGCTTCAACCGTTTAAGCTAATTCATTTTTTTCAACACAATATGTCATTTTTCATGGCATTTGAAATTTATCATTTTTCATGGTATTTGAAACGTCGGTACTTCACTTTTCCTGAGTTGTCGGATATCCGAGAATGAATGAAATGAGAGCTACTATGAATTTTACTGCAATTATACATCAGCTTGTCTAACTGCTAAGTTAAGTCTGCTACTGTCATCATCAAATATATAATTTCGAAGTTTTTTTATTTTGTCGTAAACATTGCGTCGTGATGCATTTCATAGACTGATCGTTGAATTTAGTATGTTTTAGGAATTCTAAATTTTTTATGCAATTAAAATTATTGTTGGAAAAAGGAAAAAGTAAGGAATAAATTGTATCCATTTAATACATTTCTGACTTTAAAAAAGAGCGCTCATTCTTTACATAGATATTGGAATTCTTAGAATTAAAATGGTATTAAAAGTAATTTCATATTTGCAAAAAGTGATCGTCGTCCTATTTTGTATGAAACAGTGAGAAGTGTGTATGTGTGTGTGTGTTGAAAGTGAGATGGAATAGAAGGTGTGATGGATGAAGAAAGAGGAAACAATTTGTTGGCTTCTATAATTGATATTTTGAATAGGGAGGGTGGGCGCTGTTAGCATTGATGCTAATTGTGGTAGTAAGGAAAGGAGGAGGGGAAAAATGATGGAAAAGCAGTTAGAGCAAACGAATTAGTTATAAACACTATTCTCACCTGTATTGGGAAGCGTTCAAATGAATGCCTCTGATGACCGGTTGGGTCATAGTACTGAAAAATTTTCCCATCTTCAAAGCTAATTTAGATTTGCTTCGTCGGAATACATATAGCTTATTAGCTAATTAAGTTTTTCTTAATGAAAAATTAAGTTTTAAATTAAGTGAATTATAAATAATAGTGATAGTATATAATTCTGATAAAGAATAAATCTATTTCATATATGATTAGCAACTGCTCGACAAATATGCATAAATATACATTAAGTGAAAGATTCAGACAAAAATGTTTCGAATTTGATATTATCAAAGTGCAATCACTGATTGCTTTTGTACCTCTTGCGCACATACGTTTTATTGTGTGATTATTTCAGATAGTGCAAGTGCGGAATAATTTTGTGAGATTGACCGATTAGTACATGCGGTATATTATTTTCCCAGTTTGTTTAAAACTTTTACGACAATATGTTTCACGATTCACTTTCTGTTTCTCATTCGATTACACACGAATACGTGTTTTGCATGCGTGGCTACACTTCACGTTGAATATTTAATATATCCGGTAAAGGGAAAAATAGCGTAAAAGTTGAAGATGATTGCAAAAACATCTGTCATCATTTTCATTAAGCGAGAAGGATGATTGCTAGGATAATGACAAGCTTATCGTCCTTTCTTCGCTCATCCCTATCCTCTTCATTTTTTAAATGTCGCTAACACACACATACTTACTATTGTGCGTGCCTATTACGTGCCGCATGCGTGCATATATTCTTTCGGTGATAAGTGTAACTGGTATGAGATTGCTTTTCGATTTCTAAACTAATTGTCATATCCGTCTCATTCATTGGTTTTAATTTTCATTTTCTTCACTTTTGCTTTCTTTTCTTCACACTCTGCTTCACTTGTCAACTTTCACTTCAATCTTTAAGTATAAACGAACATTTCATAATTTGTAAGAAAAACTTCGACTTAAGTTTTTTCTTTTTCTTCCAGAAATATATAATTAATACCTATTCTTTGTTGTTTTCTTTCAATCTGAGCTCATTTATTTAAAAGATTAATTTGTTTAATTTCTAAGCAAATTATATTTAAAATTTTTTTTATGTTTTAAAATAATAAAGAAATCAAACGAAATTTTAGAGAAATTTTATTTGACTGATTGCTTTTTCGAAAGCGAATATTTTTCAAAATTCGAAATTATACTTTTTTTTAGATGAAATTTGTGTGTGTGAACGTAGTGGAGAGGAGAAAGAGAAAAGAACGAATAAATAAGAATATTGCCCAAATACCTCTCTTAAATCTCCTTATATCAATTAGTTAAAAAAAGTATTTCAAATTACCAAATCTTTAGAAAAGATTTGATTACCTTTTAAGTTACAAAAAGAATTAGTTAGTAATTGGCTTCTGAGTTTTCTTTTTTGAAATTAGTACAGCAGTTAATTTTTCAAAAAATGCACAGTCGCATGATATTATCATCGAGTAGTGATCAAATCGGTTTTGATCATTTTGAACAATATATATTGATTAGATCTTCCAGCATTACAACAAAATCTACAATTCCTTTTTCCATGGTCAGTTTACCCCGATGATATCGTAGGAGAGTAAGTCAGATAGGAGCTATCAAACGAAAGACAAATGAGTTTCTTTGGATTCAATCACTAATTACTTTTTTATATGCATAGCTTACCCTATTCAAAAGTTCTTTTTTTAACATGCATTAATTCTTTTTGGAATCTTATTTTATTGAATTTTCAAGCAGTATATGCCTATTATTGCAGGTAACTTAAATGAAAACGTAAGTTAGAATCAGTCTTTTCTCGCTTGTCCGAAAAGCGAATTGTTGTTAAATGATTAACGAGAGAAAGCATATTTTGACAAATATTCTTCAATATATTATTTATGATAAGAATGATTAATTTAACCTATTATTCTTAACCTTAATCTAATTTCATATTCATGGCCATTTATAACGACCAATCGTATTTTACATATGTTCGAATTCAGGAAAGAAAAATATGTGTGATAAATAGAATCCTTCGTAAAACTTTCAGAAGCAAATAGGAAATAGAAAAGTTCGATGATTTATGCTCATCAAATATGTTTCCAATTCAACTTACGTGTAACAATGGTTGTTAATTGACATTTTTTTTCATTTGACTTTTTTTCTCATTTTTGTGTGAGAAAAAGTGGAAAAGAGGATCATTGGGAATGTCTAATTAGTTAACGGCAGTATGTTTCCCTAGTAATTTTATATATTTTAATATTGTCTGGCCAAAAGAAACCGATCGTGATTAAATTTACTTGCTAGTTAGACTGTTTATGGTAGTCTTAAAGAATTTTACTAATATTTCAATAGACAGATTATCATAGAATTTTCAAAAAAATACTTCTGGTAATTTGATTGCGCAAATGAGGCATTCAAATATATTAGTAGTGATACTTTAAATTAACCTAGAGTTATTTATTTCGATAAGTTGTTTTTATGCTAACAACTGTGAACTTTGGCATATTAGTTTAATTAGGAGAAATTCGGAAGTGAGATAAAGAACATACTTATTTGCAAATGAAATTTTATTATTTCATATAATTTATTTCACATTTAGTTGTTCTATTAAATAACTCAAATAATCTGTCAGTAGTGAAATTTCATCAATATTTTCAGTGCAAAAAAAAACACTTTAATTTATATTTTTTTTCAAGAGTGATAAAGAAAGGAAAGAACGTTGTCTTTTTGCCCTCAACTTTGGTACCTAATTGGTGTCAAAATGTATTGATACAGATTTTCAACGCATGTGATGTTTTCAGGAGTGTACAACGCCAAATATTACACGTTTTGGTGGCACATCCTTTATGGATCCAAAGTATATTCCCGGCGTAAAAAGTGAAGGAATTCCGTTGCAACCACAACCGTCAACAAGTATCAGCACTTCAGCCGTCTCAACGGCAGCATATAGAGATTTCTTCGTGCCATCAGCTGGTACTGCCGTTTATCAACATCCAATGCATAGTTTCTTTTCGGGGTTTGCCTTCTTTATCTTATTATTGATTTAAATTATTCCGTCTAGAAAAAAGCTACCTGATAATTTGATGTGGGAATGGAGTAGTTGGATTTCACAAATTGTGATATCACAAAGCTCTTTAGCAAGTTGGAAAAAAGTTGCGCGTGTTTGTTGGACCAAAATTTTTATGTTACAACTCGAACACTAGGAGAATTTCTAAGATGCCATGAAGTGTAAAACATTAAAAGGTCAGAAAGTGCAATAACTTTCAAATAATTTCAAATTATTCCAAGAAAATTTGAGTGCATGCTTTAATTAAAATACAAACTGTTATTACTAATGTATTTTTGCCAACGAGAAATAAGTTTGTTTATTCCTTCTTTTCTTCGGGATTCGATGAATCTCGGAAGCATTTTCTGTCAAACTACTAATTATGTGAGTATTTTCATTGCAAAAGATTGTTGAAATGATTGAAATCACAGATAAGGGAAAACTTCATAACTGAGCTCGTTAACTTTCGACATGTTACTTGTTTGATATGAGTCAGAATTATCATAATTAGAAATTAGCACATTTTTGCTAATCAATAGTAACTAAAGAAAAGTCACTTTTTGTTGTATATTGGTTTGTTTACTGCATCTTCTAGATGAAATTATTTCTTTGGAATTCAGAAAATTAAACGAAAGGAAATTATCAAATAGTGATTATGATTATTTCTTGATGGAAGTTCTGCTTTGGGGCTTTTCCATCTGCCATTAAAACGGTTATCGCAAATGCACTTCACAATCCAATTGAGAAATAGTTTGTATTATTTAATGGATATAAAATGGCAATTGGTTCCATCATCGGTCAACCAATGGAGTATATATTTGTTGAGCTTCTTCCTCTCTTACAATTGTTTCAAGAAAAAAATTCAACATTGGCCAATAGATAAGTAGTTCCTGCTAACGGTATTAGTTGCCTCTGTTACATTCGATCCACTGTTGACTTACATAACAAAATCATTTGACAAAATCTTTTATCCAATGACAATATCTTAGTAAGAACAAATGCAAAATGAATGTTAGCAATGAAATGTAAAACAATAAAAGAGCAAAAAAATTTAAACAATGCGCAAACTGCGATTGCCGTTTCCCATCAATCCGATAACATCAGCACAACTAAGGTAATCTGAAGTGTCATTGAGACTCAGAAGCTATTATAAACATTGAAAGCTTAATTATCACTTGCTCCGTCAACTTATCAAGCCTGTAGAAATATTATTTCAATAAATGTATTATTTAGTAGTTACCTTAAAATGCCTGCATATTGAAAATTAACATGAATACAATTTATTTGAAAGAGGGAATAATATCCAACTTTGGCTTGTTAGTCTCGATCGCCTCTTTATCTATTCTTATCAAGAAACCATTTCAACTCTCTTGCTCTCTCTCTCTCTCTCTCTCGTTCTTTCTATTCCTTTACATTTATTAGATAATACATCGGATTTCTTCGTGTTACTCCTCAATGAAGTTATTAATTCAAAGAGAACGTTGATTTAAAAAGCCTTCATTCTCATCCCTTGATCTTTTCATAAATTTCAAAATTTTCAACAATTCCAGTCAATGCTTTAATATTTATCAAATGATACATTCATTTGAAAAGTTGTTTTGAAAATCCATTTAATTTATTCAGTATAGAAAGTTATAAAATTTCTAACTTAAATCGAAAATGTTTATATAATGCTTACAGCAACTGAACACTTTTTAAATCATAATTCAGGTTGGATTCTTAAAAACACTGAATATTAGTTTTATAAGAAATTTAAAATAACTTGTTTAAAAAAATAATGAAACGATGCATTTATGCACAAAGATTGCATTTCTTTCAATATCACTTTTATCTTTTCAGGATTTTAACATTCGGTGCAAATAAATAATAGTGTACGAATGTGCTCAATTTCAAAATACAGCAAATTAATAAACTTAGAAAGTTAATTTAACTTACTCAGTTCAAACTATTAGTTATATAGGAAATTTAAAATAGCTTGTTATAATTAGCCTACACAGGTAACATTTTTCAAAAGTAAAAGACTAATATCAAAATGATGAGAAATATTTTGTTCTGTAACCACTTCTTTTTTTCTAGGTGATTCTTTTTTTTTGAATTGTGAACAATTCAAGTTTTCTCTTTTTTTCAATAATTTTCTAATCGAATAAGGCATATTTTCTTGGCAGCTATGAAGAATGTGATTTTGAATAGAATAATGATTGATTATCATGAATGGATGAATGAAGTGATGAAATATAGTATGGTGATGCTCTTTGAACGTTTTCTGGCCATAATTAACATCAGTGAAAAAGATATGATAGACTAAATCACTTTAGACAATTGCAATGATTTTTATAATATTTCTTTTGTCTCATTTAAATGCTTGTTAGATTACCGAGAAAATAAGAGAAAATGGAGGAACGAATATCAATTATGGCTCTGTATTATAAATTTATAGGAGTAATAGTTTAATGTTAGCAATGAATGAATCATATATTAACTATATAACACATATTAGCTACCAGCTATTTATTTCATCATTTATAATTAAAGTTACATTCATAAGTTTGCTACTATTTTGAGAAAAACTAAGATTTAAGTGATATTTTCATACAACTATTCACTTTCTATTTACAGTTAGGAAATGATAGAAATTAATAGTTTTCTCTTTTTTGATTTATAGTGAAGCTTTTTTTTAAAAGAAAATGAGGGAGAAAGGTATTACTATTCAATGGTTTAGCATTTCAATCATTGCTAAGCTCAATTAAATGCAATATTTAATTTTACAAGAAGTGACAGTAATTTTAAGTTCATTTGGGATTCTTCAGTATAGTTGATTTTTTAAAGAAAAATATTACCATTTAGTGGTTTAACATTTTGATCACTGCTAGACTTTTGGCATTAGTTTCTTATTTTTGAGAAATTCAATATCTGAGCAAATATGAGAAGTTATTCTAAGTTTTTTTTTCGAGATTTTTAGCATAGCTTAAAAAATATATGCAAACCTGAACTGCTAGCAAGAAATTTCAATCGTAGCTCAAATACTTACCGAACCTCACCTTCTATTGACCTAATGCAACCTATAATTCTCCTGAAAGAGATCGTCCGCATCGTCTCTATGCCACCATTCTAACACCAACGCCATTATTATGTTGGCTTCCATTATTGCACCCTTCCATCTGTATATACAGACCCGTACACACTTATACACATACACACATATACAAACATACATGCACAGGCATGAACACACACACGCACATTTTGAGTGTACAAATGCCTGCCTGTTGCATACGGTAACCAACCACATCTTTTCAACAATCTTTACAACTTCGTGAAAACCGATTTGGTAGGTGTGATATCTATGAAGAAAAAGAGCAATCAATCAATCAGTCAATATTGCTATATTTCAGTGCTTAACCTGGACCATATGAAGGTACTTAGTTTATTATTAGTTTCATGAGTTAAAAATTTGATTTTTTATCTCTTTCTCTGCTTCTTCCTTGCTTTCAAATTTTTTGTTTTAGATACCGAATTATCATTTTCTATGATTTTAATTTAAAATACACCAATTTCAGGTTTGAATTTCCCCGACCATCGATAGCTAGTCAACAACCGGAACTAATGCAATCATCATTTGCAACTCCTGGCTTTGCTACACCATCGTTTGTTGATCCAACACATCCGCAACCACCGCCAGCTCATCAACGAATTGGTAAAGTTGCTATATTCTACTGATACGATGAACTTTTTTGACCACAGTATCTCATACAAGATTTTTTGTTGTAGAAAAAAGTTAATAGCTGTCATAAACTGATAGCAAGCTAATAATTAAATCAAATCATGGGCCAGTTTCAGACCATTCAACAACCGCATTCCAATTTCCGTATGCTACTGTAGTACCAACAGCAATAACTTCCGAGAACCATCGAGCCAATCAGCAATCTTTAAGGTGTTTGTTGTTTTCTTTTCTCGTTTAAAGCTTATTTTATTATTCAAATTGATGCATCGATCGGTGTACTATCTTCAAAGACTATAGAAATCACGAAAAGTACAAATACATAATACTGAAGAATATATTATTGATTCTTCCTGTCAGTATCATTATATTAAACATTCTATATCCTAAAATTTTAATTTCTACTACTGTAAGCGATAGTTTCAGAAGTGGTCCATCGAGTTTGCAAGCTATTCCTGCTGCCAATGAATCATTATCATCCGATAAACTTTGTGCCGTTTGTAACGATCGTGCGGTATGCCAACATTATGGAGCTCGTACATGTGAAGGATGTAAAGGGTTTTTCAAGGTACTTCGACAGATCAAGCTATGCAGAAATTGAGGCCGTATTTGGCGACAAAGCTATCATTACTGTGGTATCGTTATCCACTATAAGCTATCCGGATGTTTACACTTTGTGATAACATAACATGACAACACTAACAGATGTCATGTGTAGTTCAATTAAACTGTTGTGGTAGCTCAATTCTTTCATATTTGATAAGAATGATTCATAAATGTTAGAGTGCTCTGTATTTTTCAACAAATCATTGTACTATTAAAATAAAAATTCTCTTTAAATTTAATTTATTTTTATCATTATTTAATTGACACAAAAATTTCTAGCGAACAGTCCAAAAGAAAGCGCAATACGTATGTACTGGAAATAAAAATTGTACCATTGATAAACGATTTCGCAGTCGATGCCAATACTGCCGTTTCCAGAAATGTATCGCTGTTGGTATGGTTAAAGAGGGTAAGTTAAGAATTTTTTTCGCAAGTGTTTCTAATATCTGGGTTAGAAATTGATTGATAGAAATTAATGGAATGACTCAGATAATTACTTATTATCAGATTTGTCGGATCGTTATTTTCTTTCATTAATAAATCAGTTTAAATGTTTGAATGAAATTATCAAGACTGTCCAGATATGTGGGACCTGTCATCATAATCAAGTTGATAAAATGGCATAAATGAACTTTTTGTAGTTCGATGGGATTATTTTAATATTTTTCTCACTTGAGACCATGAACTCCCTTTAATGATAATTTCAATTATTTGCACATATGTGGAATATGTTGAAAAAGACTGAAAGATCATTTCGATCACTCGATAGCAAACATATCATTATGCTTAATTCTTCTAATTTCAGCTTATTTCATTTTTTGCAGTGGTTCGATACGGTAGCTTATCGGGACGACGAGGTCGTTTACCGTCAAAAACGAAAGTGCAACATTCCGACGATCCTCCCAGTCCACCACTTCCACTCCTGACACTTATCAACAAAGCATATATCGAATCAAAAACAATTGCTACACCGACATTATATGTCCGTATTTTTTTTTCATTCACGTATTCATAACATTCACTGAATTTTAATGATGACTCATGAAATGACTAATCATAAGCAAGTAGAATACTTTCGATTTATGTCGAATCTCTTCATCTTATTTAATTATTGTTTTAGAGTGGTGGCACGGAACAGTTATTGTCGGCAATGGACGAAGAATTTCGTTTCATGTTGCTTTTCGTGGAAAAAATTCCGAATTCAGCGGAGATCTCTCAAAATGATATTACTAAATTGATTGAGCGAAACTTTTTCGCTCTACTGGCATTAAAACTTTGCTATGGGTCACTTATCATTAAACTTTTATCTTATATCAATTTAATATAAGAATGTTGTAAATTAAATAAAAACTTTAGTACTTCAGTAATTATATTGAGTTTAGGAATCGGTAAGGTAATTTCCTGCAGAAAGGAGGATAAAAAGTAAGAAATTAAAATGAAAGGAGGAAGAAATTAAAAAAAAAAAGGAAACATAAATAATTGCATCTTTTTTGATAAATACGATCTATCAGATGGGTTTTTCAGTCTCATTGCTCAATTCTTCAGAGGAGTCAGATGATGAATAAGTTTTCTCATTCATCTTCCAACTTATTTTTCTCACTGTCTTTATCATATTTCTTATCATAAAAGTTATCATTTAAACAACTTGTCATATGTTTTGCTTAAACTTTCTTGAAATTTTGCAAAACTTTAGGTGGACTGAAGGTGACAGCTTACATATGGAGCAGATCGAAGTGGATATATCAACAGTACCACAGCCATTGAAATTACTTTTCACTTTAATACAAGAAGAAGCTAAACGATTTCAACATCTCATACAGTGGGATCCGCCATCTTTTTCTGCTTTACTTGCTCTGCAATTTCTCAATACAAAAGGTCAATTATTTTCACGACAATCTCAAATCGATAAGTTGATTTTATATAGAGATATACTGCCTGAATAGAAATCAAATTAGTCATTATTATATGTGCACTTTATTAGTTATTGAGCCTTTTTTATTCAAACTTACTTTCTGAATTTCAAACTTTTAATTCCAGAATGTGGTGGTGAACTGCTCAGCTCAGATGCAGCGGTTGATAAGTTACGAGGTACTATAACAAGCGCATTGAAAGATCACTGTTGCAATTCTTCACCACCCCATACCAAAAAGCTGCAAACAATTATTGCGCAAGTACGCTCAAATATTCAAATAATATTTTACAAGACGCAAATGTCGCACAGAAATTTATTTTCCACTTTTTTATTCTTTTTTCAGTTATTCTTATTTACAATTGGGTCCTTTTTTCTATCCGCAAAATGATAATCTCTGTAGTTTCTTCGGGTTTTTTCGATAATTTTTAAATTTTAATAACTTCAAATATCGTTTAAGCTTATCCTAACAAGTCCAATTTTTATGAATTCGTTTTGCAAATTCATTCCACATGTTTGATGCATTTCTGGAATTTAAATTCGAGAACCATTCAAAGACTGTGCGTATAGTTTTCAAACCTTAACTGCTTTTATTCATTTTGACATGCATTTCACCGCCAACTCTTTTTGAGCCCCTTGACTCATCTTGCTACTTTATTTTAATTATTTCATTAATAACTAATTTTTTAGATTGAAATGTTTGCCCGGTTTCAACGCATTGGACAAGAAACTTTATCACTTGTTGTTTCATCTGGTGTACAATTACCGCCTTTAATGTCCGGTGCTGTGCAAACCGCACAACGGCTTCCTGGTCCATCGAAGTTGGACTTTACGGAATTTTCATTCTGCCCCTAAAAATGGAATTTCATGCACTTGCCGTAGCAACATCTCTTCACATTTGAAAAACTTTTCTCAACTATTTTTTTGGTTCAAATCAAAGAAAGAATGGAAAAGTACGGAAATTTGAACTAAGTTTTCTGAGTGCCTTCGTTTCCCAATTGACAAAATGTTTTCAGAATTAATAACAAACTTTTTTTGTTAATCCGTTAAATATATGCCTTTTTTTGCTGAAATTGTTCAACGTTATTTATGATGAATTTAACAATTTATATCAATATTTCCTCATCGCAATTACTTATCATATTCTCTTCAAGAAATTAAAACTTTTTAAAAAATTTTGTATAAAATTGTTGCTGCAATAATGTACCTTATGCAGTAATAGTAAATAATTCTTATTTTATAAAAGAAAAAAAGCATATAACTTTGATACAAAATATATTTTCAAAAATTTCTGCAATTACTTTAAATTTGTTTTTTCCTTTTTTATTAGTTTTACTTTTTAATTAAACACTTTGTTTTTCAATTGTAATTACAGGTTACGTACTTTTCTTACGATCAGATATCCAAATTCATTAAAATTATTTGTTTTTTTCATTGGAATAATTTTTGAGGATCTTTGAAATATGTACGTGTTCTGTTTTTTACACTTTATTTAATGATCTTTCTTGACGATGCCATGTCATTTTTCATGTCGTCTAAAATTTCCATTCATTTATTGGCTTATTCCTTTATTGTTTCAGCAATTTCTTATAATGTGAACAAATTCAATTGTTATATCGTTTACAGTAATTTAGATAATTACTGTTATCGATTTAGGAAATCGTTTATTTTGGCAGAAACAGTTGCCATAGTCAAGTATGGTAATTACTTATTTATCTTTTCAATTTGTTGCTTCATTTATCGAGAGAATTTAATGATTTACTAATTTTTTTGTGCATAAATTTTTAAATTTGTTTTGATTTTTAAGAAAAGCAACATAACAATTCGTTTTTTGGCTAACTGTCAGTAATATTGTAATTGTGTAATAAATTAAAGAAGCCATCTTTTTGTGTTCTGTAGGATAAAATTATAAAAACTGCTTGTTGTATGGCATAACTTGCCTTAATACTGTTATCTATTCATAACAGTTTAAAGCAGGTCAGTATAAATTTTTAAGTCCCAATGCTTTTATTATACATCTTAAACAGAACATAATTTATTAGAGGTATAGAAATTTTTAAATTTTTATTCTTCTTTTTTATATTTTATTTTATTGACAGTTTAGCATATACAATTGATGGTTGAACAAAAAACGTAAAAGAAAATATGATGATAAAGCTTTATTAACAATGAATTACTGTATTTAATTACAGCTTATGGTAGCTTTACCAACTTTCATACTTAATAAAATTTTCAACGTTGATTTACGTAAATTGTAGCATTCAAGTGCCTAAAATTCTATTATTCTTCTAGTTTTACCTTAATACGGTTTGATGGCTATCAGTTTACGGATTCTTCAAAACATTTTTTACTTTTTCCATGGCAACATTCTGTGCTGACAACATTCTCTGCAGTAAGAATTAAACAATCATAAGATAACTAACTTTATGATCAATATTCAGTTCTTTTTACTTCACCGGATTTAATTGTTACCAGAATTGTTTCCTTTGTGATTCTGTGTAGAACGTTTCCTGATATCAGCGTAACTGCACGTCCGATACGATTATACATTTCATCAAAAGAAATATCAATTTGTCAAATAATTTTATATCTCCACTAACTGTTTATAAGCGATAAGTTTCATTTGTGGATGAAATAGTGGTGACAATTAAAGATTAACTATCACAAAGTGATCAGCAATGGAAAGATTCGATTAAAGCTTAATTTTTGATGCGATTGTTTAAAGATATATTTTAAGTATCCAAATGTTTCATTTTTGTTTTCCTAACTTTGTACATTAATGCGAATGGCTAAACTCTAATTTTATAATTTGAAATAAAAATGATCATTCCATGAACATCATATCACTGAATCTTCCTTCAAATCTTACTGCATTTTGGAAGAGACTATTCAACATTGTGTTATTTCGAAGATGAATCAGAAAGAGAAAGAAAAAAGAGAGAGAGAGAGATACAACAAAGTCAAGAAATGCAATACAAGAAAATAATCAGTTGGGTAAATATGAAAGGTGGTAATAAGTGGGATAATAAACAAATTAAAATCAATAGTGAGATATTTGTATGAGACATTCATCACCTGTATTTAAGAGTACTTTAATTGAAATTTTTTGAATAATATCGGAAGTCAATATTCATTTCTGCTAATATTTATTCTAATAAAAGAAAAAGTGAAAAATATTTTGAAATTATTTGTTTAATCAAAAGAATTTTCAAACATTAAAGTGAAATTTTGGATAAAATCTAAGCATCAAAGTGAAAATTTGTTATAAATACATAAATAAATATTTGCAAAAGTCCAAACCCATGTTTAGCATGCCTCATGCTGGAATCGAACCAGCGGCCTTCTGTTTACTAGACAGACGCTCTGCCCCTGAGCCAATGAGGCCTTAAGGTTCGACTCAAGATCTCAATTTAAAGAATTGCTTGCGCAAATATATCTAGGTGTAATTGATAGTACCATAAGAACATGAAAGACATAGCATTTATGTTATATAATATAAGGGACTGATAACAGTCATCTCGCTGCTTAAATCCTAAATGAAGGACCGAGAAATCCCAGAATAAAAACAGGCCGAGCCGTATTCTATGACGTCAACTACTTTTAGATTTGTGCGAAAATTTTTGGGGAGATTTGGTGAGTTCAGGTCTTTACGTGATGGGATAATTGCTGCAGATTGTTTGTGAAGTGTAGAAAGTTTCAAATCTTACGTAATGTTTTTAGGAAGAACTAACAACCGTAAGTTTTTGGGATATGATAGCACGTGAGACTAAGGTTACTAAGGTTTGCTTTGTGCAGGAAAACAAGATGTAGAGAAAGGGGAGAGAATGCGAATAAGTAATATTTTTAATAAATGCAATGTTTCTTTCGATTACAGTGATATCGTTATTTGAATGTTAACTGTTTTTTTTATGAGTTTTAAATTGATAAACTTATACGCATGATGAGCATTTTTAGAGTAGTTGTAAGTTTCATTGGAAAAAGATACTAGATGGCAAGGATTGATAATAATTGTGCAGATATATTATATTTAAAGATAGCAAAAATATTTCTTCAATAGTAGTACAATATATTGGAGCGATTCAGAGAACATATGAAAGAATGTTAAATATTAATGAAAAAACTAGAAATATTGACGCACATTGCGAAAAACAATGTTTTAATGAATTGATAAGAATGCTTATATAATCAAAGTTTATAAACGAGGTCAACATTGGAGGTGCATTGTTTTCAGAGCGGAAAAGAGCAAAGGATAGGTGTTTTTGAATTGACATAGAATAGTCAGCTCGCTGTACTAACATTTCCAGAATTGTGATCGAAAAGTTCAGGTCGCATAATTAAAGAAGGGTAATATTAATTGAAGGTATCATCTTCGTCATTGTTCGCGTTAAGTGTTAAACAGAAATGTTAAATTTAGAATTAAAAGAAGTTCTGAGGAAGTAAATTTGCAGGAATGTACACTGATAAGGATGTGTTATGTTATGAGAAATCCGAAAATACGACTTCAAATAGTTTGATAGCTAAAGATGAAGGTATTACAATCTGCGGTTATTCTAAATTGCTCTGTTGCAATTTCTTTTATGGACTTTATATTAAGCTTCTCATCATTTTTTCACTTCAGTTTTCGGAATTATAAGACTTGTTAGATTGTAAATACGAATAAGATTGCTTAAAGTAAATTTAGAAAGATTGAGTCATTTAGTTTATCCAACACTGGTTGGAAATTTATGGACAGCTGAAGACAGGAAAGGAAGTAAATAAGGCTACAGAGACATTCTGGTATTAAGTAATTGCTCCACCTTTTATTTTCTTTTTTTCATTGAATCTGCTGCAATTAGCATTTTCAGAAAATTCAAATAAAAGGATTTTGCCCAAACGGAAAGCGAAATCGAGAGGACGCAGGTATTTTGAGGACCTATTTGTTTCGAATTCACCACCGAGCAAACGTAGTCGATCATCAATGGTGTTACAGCAAGCTAAGCTGGTTCAAGCTTCTAGCTATAGCGAGAACTTAAATATCGTAAGCAAACTTTATCCTATTTTTGCCACTATATTGGCCTTATTTTTTCCGTAGTAGTTTGTCCCATGGAAAATTGTGTCCCGAACTTTTATAAATTTTTTCTGTGGTTTATTGAAATTACTAGGAGTTTCTGAAAAATTCGGAGGTAGTGGATTTAATTTGTTCAGTTTGATTCTAGGCGTTCTACGTTTTAAAATTCAAGTATTTCCTGCGTTTTTTATCATTGCAGTTTGGATTTGAGAATGAAGATATAGATAGCGAGAATGATTCTGAAAATGTGAAATCAAAAGTGTTTCATGCTCCACGAATATCATGTCCTCTTCCATTAACGATAATCGGAACACCAAAAGTTTGCGTAAAAAGGGTCCCGTAAGTTACAGATTTGAACTAATAAGAATTTCTGAATGCTTTAGATCCTTCCAAATGGCACTTCTTTATATGTAATTACTTTGAAGTATTTAAAATTATGAGGATGTGATTAAGGGTTGCTTCAATTCGGAAACAGAAGAGAAGGACGTTTGATAATATTGGACAAGGAAATAGTTTTTCTTTGCGCAAAACGCTTACTGGGATTAACTTCACTGATGATGAAGTTGGGAAAAATAAATGTGGAAAAGTTAAAGAAAATGTGGACAAGCCCATTAAACGGATTGATGGCTTGTATCTAGATGAATATAAAAAACCATTGATTATACTAAAGCGAACGAAAATTTTTGCCGAGGGCAGAATTATCAGCGATGAGGTAATTTTATTAGAATTTGGGTTTGAAACACTAAGAGTGATGGACCGCTTGATTTATTTCTATCTGTCAATCTTTAAGAAACTGAAATTTGTTGCAGCATAACTCCTCAGGATGTGGATCTGAAGATGATAGAACGTACTCAGATACCGAAGCTAATTCAAACTTTTGCTCTGAAGGAGATCGAAAAATAAAGTGTGTTGCATTCAAAAATTTTCAAAAAAATGATTTTTAGGTAAAATTTCTCTTGTTATGTAATCCACAGAAAATAGTTTTAAATCTTCAGGCGTCAAAACAACTCAATGTGCCAAAGCAGACGCTTAATTAGAGGTAAATTTTTATATTTATTGTCCATCCTGAAAATTCAAAATCGTTCAAAGCTACATTTGCCATCGTTTTGCCTGAAAACCAGTATAACTAAACTTAAATTGCGTACCAGTGCATCAGTACATTATGTGTTCACTATGCTAGAACTGCACACGATACATGACTTGATTTATTCAATAATTATTCAATATTGTAGATTTATTAATGTTGTCAAATTCTGATCCCAATCTTTCTGTTGATTAAATTATTTCGATAACTGTTTGCGAAATTATCTAAAATGCAGTTTTTTTTTTCTTTTATACTTCAGAAAAAGAATCGAACGATAAATATACTGCATATGGTATCATTTCGAACGTTTGCCCAAGGACACAGGTATCGAAATTTTCATTGGATGAAAAGAATTATTTATTTTTTTCATGAATTTATTTCTGAATTGGTAGATTTTTGAAATGTTTTTACTTGGTTTAGATTTAATTTTGAATCAGTGTACTTTTTAAGTTATTTGTCTAGTTCTGTAGGTTTATAAAATTCATACCTGAAGATAGCTGAATTTCTAATTTAGCGAACTCAGAATTTTAGAGAGTTGAAACTCTGGAAGCGGTTCTTCGTCGTTTACATACATTTGAGATTCCGGAAAGGTTGCCATGTAGGGAGGCGGAATTCGAACGAATATGCTTATTTATAAAGGGATGTATTACGAATAATGCAATCTCACAGGCAATGTATGTAAGCGGCGTACCAGGTACCGGCAAAACTGTAACTGTGCTGCAGGTGAGTTTTTATTTCTGTATTTTGTTAATAATGGTAATAGGCAATTTGCTGTCTAATCCATGGATAAGTTGAAATAGATTTTGAAAGCTACCAGCAATTTTGGTTGATTATTTGCACATGATTATGATAACATTGGTGTGGATCTTCAATTTATTCATAATCATTTAGTGGTAATGCGAAGATTATTTTTTGCAGTGATTATCATGTATGTACTACCATATAGTTAAAATACAAAGTTAGATACATAGTTAAAATACAAAGTTAAAATACACAGCGTTTTTTTAATTTTAATATCGAAATTTGATGTTGCACTTATTTTCAGGCTGTGCGTTACCTAAAAGCTTCAAAAAATTTCTCTGCATTTGATTTTGTTACCGTTAATGCGATGGAATTATCAGATCCAAAGCAAATATTTGTCAAAATTTATCAAGATTTGTTCAATTTTAAGAAGAAAATCGCACCAAAGTAAGTTGAAATATTCATTCTTAATTCAGTTCATTGCAATATATGCAAAATTTATTTGTTGAAATTGTTGGCATTATAAGTCATTCGGCGTAGAGTTTTTTCCGGGTTATTTTCCCAGCTATTTTTCCGGGCGATTACATATTAGATATTATTTTACGATGAAAGATACTGCTGCATGAGCGGGTATTGGGTTTCGTTTAATTATCCATTAACGGAATTATAAGCGGGTTGGACCATCTTACTTGGTTTGCTAGTATTATTTTCTTCATGTATTTGAAGCTTTCTTTTCCATTTTCCGCAATTTTTCCTTTTATTATTAAGTTCATATTTTATGGTAAAAGAATTATATGAATAACCTGGATAAGTTTTTTTACATTTTTTCATGAGAAAGTTAATGGTTTTTAAAACGATTTTAGAACAGCGCGAAAGAAATTGAACGATATCTTTCAGTATCGTGATAAGAGACGATTGCCAATTATTGTTTTAGTTGATGAGGTGAATAGTTCCTGTTGTTTCTAATGTTTCGTATGTGTAAGTATTTCAGTTTATCGATAGCAGTATCATATCAGCTCTCATTGACTTTTTGCATGGTAGTTCATTTCATATAATGTGACCCCATGCTGCTTCAAATTGCTGACCTGATTCGTTTTACATCTTTCTTACATGAGAAATTCTTTGAAGATGATGCATGGGTATTATAGTAACTTTTGCTGGACTTTTTTAGCTGGACTTATTAAACACTAAGAAGCAGGAAATAATTTACGATATATTTAATTGGTCAGCGAATGAAGAATCGCTTGTAAGTGTCATAGCCATTGCGAATACGCTCGACCTTCCGGAGAGGCTTTTTTCGCAACGCATTTCAAGTCGATTGGTAATTTTCCTTCAAGTTTTATCTTAAGTTATTATATGTAAAGCAAAGAAGTACAGATATATGTAAAGCAAAGAAGTACAGAGATTAAGGACAGCTTGAGTAATTTGTCCCTTTCTTTTTGAAATTATCTTATTCTAGGGCGCAAACAGGCTTTGTTTCCAGCCATATGATCATGACGAAGTTTCACACATCATCCGAGATCGTCTGCGTGGTTCAACTGCTGTTGAGGCGGAAGCTATTGAATTGGCAAGCCGGAAAGTAAGTTAATACTCTGTTGTTTTTAAGAACATTAGTAAAGTAACATAATTTCTTTTAAGTAGGTAAGTATTTTTATTAATTCGTTAAGCGGCTAAGATAAATTGAAAAAAGAGTTAAATAGTCAGTGAAATTTTTGTTAAGTAGTTTTGTTAATTATTTGAGTGGTTGAGGTAGTCTAAAAAAGATTTTTAAGATTAATTTCGTCTTATTGCTTATGAAGATTATTTTCAACAGTAGATATTTATAGTTTACTTTCTTCAACAATTTCTTTCAAGTTGTACTCTTTAGGTGGCAGCTATCTCTGGTGATTTGCGAAAAGCTCTAGACATCTTACGAAGCGCTACGGAGCTTGCGATCAGTGCTAACCAGAAACAGCTTACAATGAAAAATGTAAACATTTTTATTTGGACTATTGAACTAAACTTTTTTATCCAGGAAAAGGCTTTTTCTTATAACTTTGAAATATGGTTGTTTAGGTGCAAGAGGCTATTCGTCAAGCATCTACAAGTATTCGAGTTGAGTTGATACGAGCTTTACCGCGTCATTCTGTTCTACTTCTTCGTGCTGCCCTTGCTGAACAGCTGAGTTCAGGTTTGTTATTAACGTGCGAATTATCATGCGAAATCCACCGATAAATTATAGCAGCATATTACAGCTGTTTGTACTAAGATGATTATAAAAAGTAACAAACAAGTCGAGTGCACTACGGTTAAGGCCTTTCATTGATTTCAGGTAAAAGCTGATTATCTTTGTAACAATTTCGCATTTTAGGCTTGGATGAATTTCAGTTTCACATTCTTTTTAAACAATATCGTTTGCAATGCAATGTTGCAAACATTAATCCTGTGTCGACAAGTGCTGCATATCGAAATGCTATGGAAATGTGTAGGTCAGTTATTCGGTCTTTTTCCTTATTATCTTTCTTTTTTTTGTATAATATCACCTCGTTAGAACTACATATGGATATTAATTTTTTACAAAAACTTTCTTTTTTTACAGTGAACGATTGTTGGTAGCAGCGTCTGGAACCGGTAATATGTCTCGACGTTTCCGTCTTGGAATGACAACACATGACGTGCAGTTTGCTTTCAAACAAGTCAATGAAGCAGTCCTTTAAAATAATTCTTGGACTACTTTTTTAGTCTCAAATAACAGCTGTGGTGTGTCCAGGAAATATGCGGATGTCAAGTATGAATTTAAGTGATTGAAAATTTTTTTATGAGTAGAATCTCCAGATTTCAATAATTCTCTTTTTGTACATCAAAATTTAGGGAGCTTTTAGTTGTTTTAAATGGGATAGAAATCTGGATTCCTTTAAATATAATTTTTTTTTATTAGTCATGATGCAATCTTAGGATGGAAAAGATTGAAAATATTTTTTTTTTTATTGCTTTTTAAATGGTTGATTTAAGACCTTTCTTCAGAATCTTTCTGGATTTTCGGAAGCTCGTAATATAATTCATGGCATCATGTTATTATAAATTAATAGCTTTTCTTCCATACTACTTAGTACTTTTTTTCTAATTATTTTTGTTTTTGTATATTACACTTATAATGATCAGCTATTTTTTAGATAAATATAATTAGGATTGAATTTACCGCAATAGAATTGAATTTATCGCGATAATTAACTGTTGATTATCTAAATAAATACCTGCCGACTGGTTAGGTATTTCTTTCTGCTAGGAACAATAACATTTTATTTACTCCACTAGTTGTATTTTAGAACCAATAACGGCGTATCGTTGATATTTTAGGGATTTATCATTTTGCTTAAATGTTTATTCATATCATATTTACCTGTAGTTTTATTCCTCAATTTTTTGAAAATTTGGAGATGGAAAGACGTGCTTCTTCTTAAAATTTTCTTCATTTATTCTATTGTATTAATCTTTAGAATTTCATTAAATCCATCGTTTTCCAGACCTATTTGAGAATTTGGTTATAGTTTTGAGTCTCCATTGCAATAACCTTGAATTAACCCCATTATCTTATAATCAGTCACTTAATTTCTTGAGAAAGCTATACAGGGAACAAGCTAGACGTATTGTACATGATTTATCAGATGTTCTGGCTTGAGTGTTATTAAACTTAAAATCAAAAAGTCGTTGAACAAGTGTCTTGTTATATTTTTATCATTTTTTTCACTTTCAAATAATTATCAGACGTTGTAAGATGTCCTTACTCTATATTCAATTCAAATCAGCCTAGTAACCTGTAGTTTTCTTTGAAAGATACTTTCAAGTATCCATTTCTAAACGACCTTCATTCATCGTTTTTGTTGCAATTTTTTTCAGTTTATTGCATTTGAAAAAATTGATAATTTTAAAAATGTTTCTCGGGTTACATATCTCTGATTTCATAATTTTAGAAGTTTACAACTGTTATGCCAATTTGGGCATTTCGCTAATCTCGCATATCTTTCTTATTGGTTCTGTAATAGAAATGCTACAATAATGATGCTGCGCAAATTTTTATTCTATCAACGTTTGCATCAACTTGGGTTAACGTATGTACGTCGCATATCATGTGTAAAATAAGCATGTCTTCAAGTTCCTGTAATTTAGTCAAATTTCTAAAACCCTGTTTCTTTCTTTCAATAATTTATTTTTCTGTGCCAATCTTTTTTAAGTTCCAAGAATTTATTGCAGTAATTCATGAAATAAAGAAATTTTCAAGTAGAACTTATTATTTGATATATTTCTTGGTATGAATTGCCAATTAATTTTTTGTATACAAATGTGATTGGGAGATACATATTGAAGCGCATATATTTATGAAGTTTTCATCATAAATCTCCTGAGCTTTTTAGTTTAGTCAAAAAAGAAATTGGTAAAGAGTAATCGGTTAATTGTATTGCTGGTCTCTTGTTTTTATGGATTTTAGGCGTTTTACCTTAATGAGATGTCAGTTAATGATACACAGTGCTTGATGAAGTAACGCTATCTGTTATAGAGACAGTTCACAAAAGAGGATTATCTTTATAAAGTCAGTGAGTGAGCTGACCCGAAATTAGGGTCAGGATCTGTTGTTTATAAGTCGGTAATGTGGACCTCAATCGTAATCTATCAATGAAGACAAGTTTCCGTAATGTTTTATATATGCAAATAAGGCCGAGTTACAGACGGAATGCTTTACAGAGTGAAAGCATTATTTCTTCTAAACAGTGGGGGGTCATCAAGGCGCGTAGCTGTTATGTGAAAGACGTAGAACTTGTTGGGAGAGTGCATGACGGATTGCAGGGGCAGATAGACAATGTGGCGATTGGAGAAATTTAGGCTTCCAGAAATATAAATTTGCTATAAATCTACAATATATAAATTTGCCTTCATCGGTTTTAACTGAATTAATGTAGGTATAAGGCGCTATCCATAACGAAACATAATTGAGGTGCAAGAGAAATAAAAAGCTCTGGTGGAGGGAGAAGGGAGAATTATTACCTTTTAGTTGATAATTACCTTTGCGGAAACTAGTCAGAAGTTGCAAGAGGTAACGAATTTGCTTTCGCTATACCTCTGCCCATGTCACCCAACTGAATTTCTATTTGATGAAATAGATGATAATTCTGGTGGGTTTTTATTAATATTGCAGTAGATGAAGTATTTTACTTCCAATTCACTGGAAACTTTGCCTCATTTCTAGAATTATGACAAATAGCACTACAAAATCTTTTTAATTTGGATTGCAGGAGTGTGTAACGGATTGATTATCGATTTATCAGTCGTCTTCACCTGTATAGCTCAGTGATGCAAAACACTGATTCATCTCAATTGATATGTCCTATCGATTGAGAAATTTCTGAAATGTGAAAGCGAACGCTAATTCGTTTTGGTGAAGTTGGTTGGTTGAAAGAGAGGAAGGATGTACGAATATGATGCATAACAGGAATGGCCAGAAGGTTTGCTTCAAGAGACATCATCCACACATAACATGCGGACACGCTTAAATATATCACTACGGCATTCACAGCGTACAAAATATAGAAACGAAACGATAGGCCATTATCAATCACATTTTTCATTGGTGACGTATACATGACAGAGAGAGAACTAAATGTATAATACACACATAGAGGAGCGTTATGAACTTTGTTGCCATGTTGAAGCAGCATGCTGTTTTACAGGTAGTGGCAATAATGATGGTTCATTGTTGATATTGGTGTTCTCGTTGGCATTGATAATGCTCATGTCTAAGTCCTTTTTTTTATTATTTTCAATGGAAGTATTCAGATTTTAAACGAATTTTTCAGAAATTTATTATTTCTTAAATATTTCTTTCATCATTAAATTCTTTGAATTCATACCATCACCAAAATACACACTATCAAGTGATCTTGGATTTACAAAATGGCCCTTTTTTCGCCTTAAATATTTTTCCTATCATGTTCTTTTCTGACTCATTATTGTTTATAGTAGCAAAACTCATGAAAATACAAATAAGTCCAGAAAAATTTTATTGCTTGCTGTTATCGAAATAGAAGAACTTTCACCTGTTCGACTTTACAAAATGTCTTTATTTTCATTCTCATAGTTGTTTTCCTGGTTGCTTACTTAATCTACAAATTCTAAAAATATTTTAATTTTAAAAGAGACAGATAAAGCTTTTGAAATATCAGTAATCCATGTCCTTGAATTCATCGTTGGTTCTAATACCCTTCTTATTTTGTTTCCTGTCGTTGAAAATGCTGGTTTTCGAAGGATTTTCTGATTTACTATCCCTTCCTTTATTCACGTCTTTAGTCATTTATTTTCCATTTTAAACTTTATTACAATATGTCGAAACTGGTAGCTGACGAATGGATATTATTATAGAATGTTATAATGGGGTGATTATTGATGTCGAGAGTTGTTCGTCGTATAATATGCTTGATTCTTTTGTGAGATTTATTTCTTCTGTTTTCAGTTCTTCTTTTGCTATCATCTATTTTTCCTATATTTTGGTTTCCAAGATTTTTTCAGTTTTCAGTTTTTTTCGAATTTTATTGTTCTGTCTTTTGGAGATCCTTGCTATCGTAATTTCAAAATTTCTTGATGTGTGGAATAAGTACCATAAGATTCACTTTTCTTGTTTATTTTTAACGAAGTGAAGTTAAGGAGGACGAAGGATTATGAGTGCAATCTTTAATAGATTGATTTCAATAAAAATCCTAACGCAATATGCCCTCATTGCTTTATTTTATGATTTAATTGGCATTAGTATAAATGGGTTGATCAAACTTCAATTCGCACTTCGTCTGCTGGACTTGTAAGTTCTATCACGCGTTCCTTATGTCCATGGATCTTTGCTGGAGAAAATCGTTGATTCAGGATTGAAACAGATGATTTCTGATTGATTTTTTTTATTTTAATTCCTAATTTTTGCAGTCATAGAAAGTGTAAATTAACTAAAATTTTGCTCCGAATTTCGGTTTTAATATTTTCAATGTCGGCACCATTATTTTATTTGTCCTCATACCTACTGACTGAGAAGGATAAAGATCTGATTTTAGAAAGAGAAAAAAATATGAAATAGGTGGTTTTCGAGGTTAGCCATTGTTTTTATGCTTCAAAGTTACTAACATCTTTGAATTTTCTCGACTTATTTTCACTCTATAAAATTTTATAATGTTTTACCTTAATTGTTACGATGTAATGTACCCAAATGTTCTTAATGGTAACTCTATGTTGTTGATAGCGAAGTGATTATTCCTCTAGTTATGCATAAATATTTTTGACTTTCGAATAGGCGTTATAGGTAATAGCATTCCTCGATTCGGGCTAACATATGGGTTAATTTGCTGTTACTTTTGCGCCTTTAATATTTTTGTTGAACCAGCGAAATTCAACGTTTTGTATAAAATATACTATTTTAGAGTTATTTGGAAGGATGCTTCTCTTTGCTTTTACCATGCAGTTCCCAACCAAGAATTTAGGTAATAGATTACTGAATAGCTTTTTTTGTTAAAATTAAGTGCTGGCAGTGTTTAATTGACCTTTTATATATTGTAAGTTCATTTGCTAAGCTTAATACCAAAGATAACTTAGCGAAGATTTTATTGGCATCTTTTTAAAAAAAGCAGAGGGATATATTTTTTTTTGGAAAAAGATTGAGAGAGCTTTTTGTGCCAGTTCATTCGAGACATAATTTGATCATTTTACATCCCTTTCAATAGCACACAACAAAGTCTGCAAAGAAACAGAGGGAAGAAGTGAGGACGATTTGAAAAATCTATTTATGTTCCCATCGCAAAACCATATGAGTTGGTTTTTGTCCTTATTTATGAAGTTTGACACATAATTAATTGAATGAAAGTTATTTCTTTTTCTTAATTTTCGATTTAAAAATGTCGAAATTTTTGAGTTTTATAAGTCTACGAATTTTGTTATGTACTTTTCTAAGGCATAGCAGATAAATGCATATAAGATTAGATCACTTTTCATAAACTTTAATACAAATAAATTTATTTATAAGTTTCACTACAACTTATAAAGGATCATTTTTATTATTGTCAATAGATAGATAGTTTAGTAGAATATATTAACGTTTTGTTTGAGGGCAAATGTCTGCATGGCGAAGGAGGTGATAGTAATAAAAATATTCTCTATTCTGTGATAGTAATTAATTCTGTGATAGTAATAAAAATATTCTTTAACAATAATAAGAAGTAAAATTAAAAAAATCCCTCTCGTGATTTTGTTTACTTTTTCTCCTGATAAAATTATGAAGGTACGGANTGTTTACTTTTTCTCCTGATAAAATTATGAAGGTACGGATGACATTCTCTTATACAAATCTAGTTTAGTAATTTAGTGTATTATACAATTCAGAAGCAGATTTATTATTGCTTTAATTTTGCTGCCAAATCGTAGCTATCGATAATTTAGCTAGAAGGGTAGATTAAGATAAATGGGCAGTTGGATTGGATGCTTTCGGTTGTCTTCCGTGTAATTTCGCCATTCATCGTATAAATAAATAGTTTTGGTGATATAAATGTGAACTTCTATGAAGTAAAAAGTCGAATCAATTTAATCTTTCATAAAGAAATAATTCGCGAAGATGATCCTTCTATCTTCTAATCCTTTCTTTCCTTTATTCGAATATCAAAATAAGTTCAGAGTTCATGATGATTGTATGCTAAGGCTCTTCAAATATGTTTAAAGTTATATTAAACTGCATGTTCAAGAGATTTATTTTTTTAAGAGCAACAAAATTGATTGTTATATATTTTTGGTATTCTCTTTCGATAGAGCTTAGAATTTCATTCTTTGAGAATTTTTTTCTTATTTCTAATATTTTAATTGTGATTTTATAGCTTACAGTTTTCTTTTTATTTTTCCACTATCTTTTTTTCTTAATTTAACATATAGTTATAGTCTTTGTATATGATGTGATGAGAATATCAATCTCATTTTCTTTTTTGAATTAATCCAATACATATTTGTGATTGAGAAGATCAAATCTTGTCAGTACGGAGAAGGGAGATGATTTATGATCTCAGTTGAACGAGATTTATAAAAGTATCTTGGGAGAACAGTAGAAAGTAACAGCGAAAGAATGATTAAATTTATTTATTACTTCAATTACTTCGTTCGTCTACCTGCGATTTCTTTAAATGCATGCAATTAATAATTCAAACTGTATGATATTTACTTGAAGATTATTCGCTCTTCATTCACCTTTCATACTGTAAAGCTCTTTTTGTGTCATTAAGCTGAAATTATGATGAGCCATTATGTGCAGAGGTTAAGCAGGTCAGTCGGTAAATATTAATCTATATTTTCAAGATTTACGCCTTTTCATGTATAAAAGTTCTGCATTTTTTTCGAATGTGAAAAAACATTTACATTGTCAAGTGTTAGGATGCTTTTGTGATACTTCTCTATATCGTATCGTTAAGTTTTATAATTGAGATTTTCAATCCTAAAATGATTCTTTTTTGCAGAGGATATCAGCACTGGCCAATATTGTGCAACGATTCGGTAGCCGAGTTCGCGAAGCCTTGGCAACGGCCTCCGAGGCTATTTCAAATGCCGTCATCGATAATGATCCCATCACGGTCTTTTATTCAGTTTTTGGTTTTTTGTTCTGGTTTTTGTTTTCCCTTTCTTTTCGGAAAAACTTCAATCTTTTCTTATAACTCATCAGGTCTTGACGGTGGTTACAAATATGAATAGATGAAGCACTTCGAAACTTAATCTGAACTTAATTTATAATCGTAAAATCCCTCTCAATAATTGAAATTCGAACTAGAAACTTTTAAGGAAGAAATTTGGAACTACTAGTACTAAGGTTTTTTTCGAACATTTATATATTTTTTCTTATTTAAAATGTATAATTTTCGATCTTTTGCTATCCTTTCTTTTTTTCTTTTCCATTTTGGAAGTGCAAAATCATCATAGCAATATTATACGAAAATCTGAAGGACTTAAAGAAATGCTTTAAATCATTTCATATTTTCTCTTTTTACTTTTTTTATTCCCATCCTTCTACGGTGTTTTTATGTTTGATTCTTTGTAAAAAAATTTCTCCTCCTTTTAGTAATAGTGTTAGCGTAATGCAATTCAATGTTGTTCAGACACCCGTGGAATCAATGTCTCGCTTTATCAAGGATATGAATGAGAAGGGTATGGCAGGCTTAGCCTCAGAATATCATAAAATTGACGTGGAAGATGCACCATTCGGCTCTCACAAAGCGTTTGTCATGAATATGACTAAAAATCGTTATTCTGGTAAGATTTTTCCGTGATCTCCAAGTTTTATAAAATTGTTTTACTTACGAGAATTTTTTTTGTGGTTTTTTCCAAATATTTTTTCAAAATGACTTTTTTGCGAATTTTTATCTGTAGTTTTATTTATGTGGTTGTGCTTTTATGAAATTTTTTATGAAGATATATCATAAGGAGTTTTCGTTTAACTTAGCTAAAATAATAGTGTTTGATTTTCGTTAGAGACAGTTTTGCAATTTGGTCTTTAAAATTTGTGCTGCGAAATAGATAACTGTAGATGTCTTATGTGTCGATGAAACGCGAGTAGTTTTGAAAATTGGAACAGCCGCAAGTGGTGATTATATTCATGCAAATTATGTGCTATTTCCCGAATTCCAAAATAAATTTATTTGTACTCAGGTCTTTTTTCGATTTCAAATTTTAATATTGTTATGTAAAAGGCTTGTTTTTTTATTTTATTCAAATCCTAATATTGTTTTTGTCATGTTTTATTCATAGTCACAGCAAGCGTTTCATTATGCTGTTTTCATCATTATAAGGAAATTAGTAAGAAATTTATCATTCGGAACGAAAATGTTTCAGGGCCCTTTACAGACAACTAGAGACGATTTCTGGAGGATGGTGTTTCAGGAACGTGCTGAAACAATCTTGATGCTTTGCAGGTTTGTTATTTAATATTTATAGTATTAATGAAAATGTCGAAAGCAGTGGTATTCTTTAATGCTCATGCTCTTAACCATTGAACCACAGACAAGGTGAGTAAAAAGGATTGCTTCACTGTTCGTGGGCCTTGGCATAGATCATAATTGCAAACTATATTAGTCCTGGTTTTACTACATACTTATGCTTGTATTTATATTTCCTAGTGATTCTTTTTAATTCCGTGATTCAAAATAAAACTGAAATTTTTAAAAATTTATTTCTTTTAGACCATCTGAAGATGGCAAACCGAAATGTGCTGTTTACTGGCCGGAAAATGGCGATAAATTAGAACTTAATACGGTTGATGTTGAGAAAGTTGGCGAGGAAAATTCTGATTTTGAGGTTCTACTTTTCAAAGTGCAACTCAAAGATGAATTCAAACAATCGCCTTCCGTAAGCAACAAGGACCCACTAGTAGTGAAACAATATCGATGGAGCACGTAAGCAGTTTCTATTACTATTTTGGATATGGAGTGTAGTGGCTAAGTAGGTATATATTAATGAAAAGAAATAGAGAAAAATATATCTGCTGATTTCTCAGCGACAGGTGGTTTTACATTCTTTAGAGTTACTCTGCCTTAAATCTATTTATTTCTCTTTCAGGTGGCCTGATCGTGGAATTCCAAGTCATGAGAATGCTATGACTCCTTTGAAGTTATTATCACTGGTAAGAAGCACTCGAGCACCTTGTATTGTGCATTGTTCTGCTGGGATCGGACGAACTGGCACCGTCGTTGCAATTGAACTTGGCATCAGACGGTTTCACGATGGCCGCAGAGTAGATCTGGCAATGGTAAACTGTTTTTGGTTCTGCTTTTATAATCAAAAGTTAATTTAGGTATGAAAGAAAATTTTAAGAAAAAAATATGTATTTGTGATAAATTTCGATTATTCAAGGAAAACGTTTTAAAAAGTCATGCAAATTTTCAGAATTTTTGAAGTCGTTTAGCATGAATGAAATTAAGAGATAAAATTTTTTTTTAGCTTGTAAAAGATCTCAGAAAGAAGCGGGCGCAATGTATACAAACCGAAATTCAGTATTTGTATTTAAGTCGTGTGTTAACTGAGTACGCTTTGAGTTCCGGCGAACAATTATCTGATGATGTGCGTCGTGCAGCGGAATCATTTCTCAAAGAATACGATTCCAAAATTAAAAAATAACGCTCCTTAATTTGGTTTGGAATTTATAATGTGGTAGTGAAGAGAAACAGTTATAGTTTTGCATGTCTCGAAACAGCATGTTTTTCCCGAATTTACGGATATTTTCCTCGAATATAAATTTCAACTGATGAAATCTTGCATGGTGTAGCTTATGATGGCTTTAACTGTTACTGTCGAGACTTTATCGATTACTTCACCCCGTACCAGTTATTCTTAAATTAAAATTAACAGGTAGATAGACAGGGTCTTCAGGTTTTGTGTTGAAGTAGAACATATTATTCAGGCTATGAATCACCAGAAGCTTTAAGTTAAAGTCTCAAGTCGTGTTTATTTACTCGTTTTAGCAACTCTCTATATACTCCAAAACGTTTTTGTGTGTAAAGTTGTTGTTTTCATTTTTTTCAACTTCCAAATTTATATGTCACATAATAAAGCTTGTGAATTTTGCATTTTTGTAGTAAATTGATAGCACGTCTTCGCAGTATCTTCAATTTTATATTCCTTTTTAGATTTTAATTCAGCTTAATTTATTTTTTTCCAGTTGGCTGGTTGGTTTCCTTTGTGTTGGAATTGGTACCCAAATGAAGTGATTATTGAAAATATGTATGATCCTAATCTGACAGTATTACAACACTCTGCTTTCTAAATGATGTGCCAAAAACCTGAGATATTAGATTGAGGATTCGATCTTGTTTTGAGTTAGCCGTTAGCGCTACTAAATTGCTTTAAAATTGATTTCATTTGGAATTCAAGCTAATTCACTGAACAGTTGTACTAGGATAAATATGTAGCTATGCGAATATTAGTTATTTTAGTGATATGCGCTGTAATTGTTGAAAGAAATACCACTTTCCCAAAATATATATCTAATTTATCGTTGTTATCTTTTATAAGTGATTTTTTTTTTTGATAACACAGATGGTGCCAAATGTTTTTTGGTGGTATAAATTTGTTGGTTGATTGTTAGATTAAAGCATTAAAGACAGTAAACTTTTTAAAGACTGAGAGGATCGACGAACTATCAGTCGCGATGTTAATAATATTGAAACCGATGAAGAAGTTTATTGTCGCGAGCACAGATTTTCAGATTTTATTGCTTAGATTTTAGTTAAATTCATTACTTTTATCCAAAAGCACCGAGAAATGTTATGGCTTATATGACGCAAAAATTAAGGAGCAGTGGAATGAACAAACTTCATTAAACTTCTTTTACTTATTAAAATTTGATTTTGAAAGATTTAGAAGTCTTCACTGACAGAACATAATACGCTTATTTGTTCCTTTTCATGTGGTTTCAATTCTTGAACAAATGAATCTGAAAGGAAGTATATGATTTAGCTCTAATTTTTTTGAAGCCTTTTTATAGCGATAATTCCGTATATTTGCGCTTTTTTATGACATTTACAGGGTAATCATTGCATCTAAAGTGGTGAAGTCAATTTTAAGAAACTTTGTTATTACCTTCCATAAGGAGATATGTTTTGACGCAGTGAAATCAATGAATTTGATAATTGTAATTCAATTTATAACAAAAATATATTTGTCTAAGTGGGCATTCTGTTTTGTTTTGAATATATAGCGCTCTGAATATCAAATTAAGGTAATAAATGAGTGATCATAGAAGTGAAAAGTTAAAAAATCGAATTGAGAAGTTCATTTTATGATGATCCCTGTTTTCTTGCTAAATGATAGAAACTGTTGGACAACCAGTTTTCCAGTTAAGATTACGGTTTGATAAATATAAACCGAATGGATGAATAGATTGGAGATATTAATGATAATTGCTGCGATCAGTACTTCTGTTCCCCAGATAGATGGCGAATAAATTTGAAAATTTTATACTGTGGTGAACATATGATTTGATGAGGATAGCGGTTGAAGCCAATCGCCATCGAGACTTTGATCCGAATGACTACTCAGATTTGATTGCCTATGAAAATTGTACCAGCTGCGGCGTAGTTGTCGAGTCTGGAAAAAAGACATTTAATATTTCAAATAATTTATGTAACAATTTCTTAGATAAAATGATGTAGGATCGAACAAAAATAACTGATTTAAGAAAAGAGGCATCATCTCCTCACATTAATAATAATATTTCTTCACCTATTGAATCTGTGCAGCGTTAGGTTTTCTCATTTGTTCTCAAGATTTTTTATGTTGATATAAGAATTTTCCATCAATATCAAAGTAATTGGTGATGAAGTTTTTTGTCGATGGTTGTATCAGTTATCAGTATATTTCAATTTGGATTTTAAAAATAACACGAACCTCCATATAATAGCCATCACGTACATTTGTAAACATTAATTCAGCTAACGTCGCCCAAGCTTCGATTGTTTCCGTTGGCTGAGAAATTACAACGATTGCAATAAAAATTATAGGATTTTGAAAATTACTTTTTTTTTAATATCAATCAATTGATATCATAAATATTGGTTGAGACAAAACGCCATTTGCCCATTTGTGGATTTATTTTACAAAATATTTTATTCACCTGATGAGCGGCACCATCCAGAAAAACACATTCGGTTGTTAGCGCATCAGCTAAAACAGCAAAGAAATCAGCTTTGAAACCCCAACTGCGCTTATGTGCTTGCTCAATGCCATATCTATTTGATATTTCTCTGATCTAAAATGTAAAGTATGATATAGTATGAAGGGAAAAAGATGGACAGAGATTAAAGTAAGAATAGATTGGCTATAGTATCGTGTTGTTGTGAAAACTCTTAAAATTTTCATTTGGAAATTCTGAATTAGTATTAATTACCATATCTTATCTTATGTACACATTTATGTTTCTATTCTTTCTTATCTAAGGTTAATAATGATATGAGTGATACCTTTTCTGAATTTGACATATTTCGTACGATATCATTAAGAAATTTTTTTACAGACATAACCAACTCATTGGACTGTTCATTGCTTAAATTTGCATAAAATTGCGCGAAATCATCACGCTTATGTGCCATTCGTTGAACGATTCTCAATGCTATATCTGATCGGGCATTTTCCATACAAAATAATATAATTGACTGAAAGTTGGATTAGTTTGTTAATTGAGCTAATTTATAAACACTCATAAATTTAACCTCTAAATTTGAACCAAATCTTGTTAACTTAATGCCTAATTCAAACATTTTGGAACGTTTTGAAAAAAACGACCAAAATAGGCCACTCTCCGTAACTACTAATTTCAATCTATCTTGGAGGTTACCAAATATAAGATCAATCTATCTTGGAGGTTCCCAAATATAAGATCAATCTATCTTGGAGGTTTCCAAATATAAGAATTATATGGAAATATTATGATTGGTGAAAATTTGGCTAATCCAATCTTTTCTCTTTCTTGTCTTGCTTTAACTTTCATTACTGTCTAGTTTAAATGATCTTTCCTTATCAGGACAAAGTGATCTGAATGATGTTCAGTAAAGTATCACTTTAAATATCTGCTGCTTTGCAGAAAATATTCTATATTAACATATACATTATAATCATTAATGATTTTCAAAATAACTATAAGATAATTTTATAACTTACCTGTGAGTTAGACGATATAGAAGGTAATTTAGTTGTTGAAACAATTGAAGGGCGCTGCGTTATTGATGTCATGCGATCACTTTTTCTACCATTACTACCACTACTGACTGCTTGTGGTGATTTAACGACATCAGTTGAATGTGGCCTTCGAGTGATCTATTTTAGAAGTTATTTAGTTATTTTATTTAGTTATCCAGAAGTTACTGAATTATTTAGAAATTATTTAGAGCAGTTAATTTATTGCCAACGTTAAGTTCAGCAAGTAGCAATTGGGCTTTTATTGAAAGGAAAATAAAGCAGGAATGTCATTAAGATTCTTCTCCTCAAAACTACCCAAACTCTCAGCGAACATTAAGGTCAACTAACATAATCCAAGGTCAATTAATATAGTCCATCCTGATCGGATCAAGATTTTTCCTGTGGTGAATCTGTTTGTTTGCATCAAATTATTCGTATCGAAAGAAATACTTTTATATTTGGTTGGAAAAACTCACTTTCTTGCTATTCTGGATACTTCCTTTGCTTTGCAATGATAAACTGCCTGTTGCTGAAGAACGATATTTTCTTTTCTATAACAATAAAATATGAAACTAAAACTTTAACGCGAACTACGCAAAATGATGATGATAATGATAATAATGATCACATCTTCTGAATATCATAAAGAGGAACAGATATAGAGAGAGCAACCTTTTGATCATCAAACACATCAGGGGACTTCAATGAATTATTCATTTTCTGTGATGCCTTCTGCAAAGCTGTTGCTGATTGAGGTTTTGTTAACAATCCATGCGAGGAACTATGAGTGGAATTATTTGGTGGGTAATTTGAATCGAATGACATTGATACATGCCGTCTGAAATATCAAATTTTGAAATTTCTATTTCAATGGATGTTATTTTTGAAATATAATTTTGATCATCTCAAATCGTTCTGAATTCATTATTTACTTAGTCTTCTCTGTTTACTGATACTGACCAGTTTAGTTTCTCTATTTCTCATTCTCGATTAAAACCATTTTCCTTCTAGACTTATCATTTGATCAGCAAACACTTGATGATTCATTTTTTGAATTGATGGCTAAAAGTTAAAAATTGCTAATTAAAATTAGAAGAAAATAATTATTTTACCTTAATGAACCATCCGATCTTCGACTTGCCAACGAATTCTGCAAAAAAGAAAAATATCATTTCCAAGTAGCTTAAGCTTAAGCTAATTCAATCATTTTAATGAGTTAATAAGACTTTATTGCATAATTAATTTACTTAGTAATTGTGTTTTGTTATTTTAATAAACATTTTCTTTTTAAAAAAATATCTAATAATATCAATGAAAATGAAAAATTCAACTAAAATTTATTATAATTCTGCATGGATAATAAAATTTGTTATTTTCAAGAAACTGTGGAAAAATTTCAACGGACGTCGTCGATTCCTATCCGATACTCTTATTTGTCCGATACAATAATGTAAGTGTGAAATCTTTTTTTTTATGTCAGTATTACATCAAACTTTCACTTCATTTATTATGAATTAAAATTTTATTTTATGCATTCTAAAAGTGAATTCAAATAAATGAAAATGCATATATCATAGAAATATTATTATAGCATTTATTGTGAATAAATTCTGATCGTTTGGTTAGTTCACAAAATGTTGAGATTATCTCAGTTCGCTTTAGTTTTGTGATTGAAATAAATTTTAAATTTAATTTCAAATTTATTCTTAAAAAATTCTTTGTTTTCTCAATTATGATTTTAATACTGTAAGAATTATATTTTCTCTATGAAATTTCATTTCTTTTTTAGGAAAATAGAAGGAATATTTTACTTAAACAATGATAAGATTAGCATAATTTATTGTCAATATCATTCGAACCTATTCCAAATGGTATCACTTTTTTATCATTTTTTATCATTTATTCGATATCTCAATAAAGGTTTTTTCTTAATAAAGAAAATATAAATTAAATTGCGAATTGGAACGATAAAAATTATTAGGATAAAGTGAAATAGTTGTAGTTGACAGATGACATGGCAGATTTCATTGTCATCAATAACATTTAGAAAAGAAAACAATTCTGTTGCAAACATTCAAAATAAACAAATTCACTATTTTCATATGCTTAATTAATTTAGAAATATATGCTAATAAATTTATCACTAAAAATTTCTTTTCTTTTTAAAACATAACTTTTTAGTGCCTTTTAAATATATTGATTTCTTTTTTCACAATTTAATAATTTTATATTTGAGATTTGAGAAAGAATAAACTTTTCACATCTTATTTTAGGAATAATTACATTTCAATTTAACATTTATGATAAATGATATTTGAGTTAAAAGTGAAATTTCCCTCATTTGATAAGCTTAATGATTATGCTGAAATTTTTCAAACTTAAATTAAGCATAAAACAAAAGAGCTAAGCTATAACCTTTTCTCTTCTTATTCTATTCTATCATTCTCTTTTCACATAATTATTTGCACAAATTTTGGAGTTTAAGTAAAATACAATTCGAAAAGAATTTAATTTAACTTAAAAATATTTCTTTTCCTTCGTTACATCCAACCATTCATTTCTTTTTTCCTTTCTTTTTCCATTAATTAATGAATTCAGTGAAAAAAAAAACGAATAAATTGTTTTTTTCAATAATTTTACAAATTAAAAATGAATCATTAAGCTTTAAATGAAATTGCAATAATAAGCGAAAATTTTAAATTCGATAAAAGTCTCAAAAACATTTTTTTCTCTTTTGCAGCTTTCATTTTGTTTGTCATTATTAGTAAGATAAGAAATATATTCTAAAATTTCCTTTATTTTTAAAATTCTATCAAATAATTTTTTAATTGATTGCCAATTGAAAGAGTTCAGCATGATTGATATATTAATTAACAATAATAATTAATCAATAATCGTGATAATGATAGAAATGACAATAAAAAAAAAAGTGAATCAATGATAATGATAATGATAGAAATGATGATAATGATAGCAATTAAATGAGAAATAATTTATTAAACCAAAAGATTAAGCTTATTAATTATTCATTTATTATTAAGAAATGAATTTCTAAAAAAGGAATCAACAAAAAGAATGGCTTCTAAAATTGTTACTTTCTTTGATAGAAAAATATGAAAAGAAGACAAATTTTCATTGAATGAGTGATAATAATAAAAGCTGTAAAAGAGGAAGAATATGTACTTTCATTTTATTTGACAGACAAATAAATATTTGCGTTATAAATCGTTGATTATTTTATTCTCAATATATTTATGAATTGATAGAAGAGTTCTTCTTCATGGGATATTCAGTCTAACGACGAATTTCATCCATTTCATTGATTCGACGATTAATAATATTATATAATAATTATCAGTTAAGATAGAGTGAGAGAGGAGAGAGAGAGAGAGAGAGAAAGCTTTGATTAATAAAATGATATGATTATCAGTTGAGAGAGAGAGAGAGAGAGAAACTGTAAAGAGAATATTTTATTAGTATTGCTTGTATGATTGATAGATTGATGAATGTCTCAAATTAACAACAAATAAATTAATTTTAGCATTAAAACAAAAGATTTCTTTTCTTTTTATTTAACAGATTTATTAATTTATTTATTATAATATATAAATAAATAACTGAACATTATCAATAAGATTTATTTTCAATGAAATTTTCAAATTAAAAATTATTCTAATAAAAAACTAAAATTCATCAAATAATTCATTTATTCCATAAGAGTGAAGAAACTATTTACACTCATATCAAGTAAGTGGAATAATTTGATAAATTCAACTGCTACGCATCATTTCATCCTGTTTATTGATGATTCATTTTCATCATGAAAAATGAAAATATAATTGTATTGGATGAAAACCAATTAAGTTATATAAATAAATGCAAAGCTAATTAAGATTGTTTACTGTTACAGTAATAAATGTATATTGATTAATTATATTAAAACTTAATTCTATCGTGTAAATAAATATTATGAAACAATAATCGAATTTTATATTTATATTAAGACAAATAGATTTAATGAATGAATAAGGTAAGTAAGTATAATTAAAATGAAAAAGAATAAAAGAGAAATGTCATTTAAAATTAATGAAAAATATAGCTTTATCAGAGGAATTTATAGGAGTATGTGAATAAATTATTATTATTATTTTCTTCTATTTCTCATATAAATTTAAATTTTTATGAAAAAAAATAAATGCTCAAAGGATAAAATTAACTTTATAATTATCACCTGTGAATAGAAAGGTTACCTATGAAAGCAATTGTAAAAGTAAATTTTGAATTCGTTTAGAATAATATGATAGTATCGAAGGATGAAATTAAGCTATCACTTTATCATTACTGATAACAATTCTTAATCATTTTATATCAATGTTTTTCTTTTCAAAATTTATTATCAAACATTAATATAATTGCTACACAATTTACAATCTCACTAATTTAACTTTTATCACAAAAATCAAATTTTGGAAAAATATGTTACAAATTCTTAATTAGCATATTTTAGCTTAAATGCTAATAGAATGGATAGGAATGAAAGTTAGCAGATTGCAAAATAATCTAAAAAGTATAAAATAGAAAATAATGTCTCACTTAAAGGAAATTATTTTCAATTATACCTCTTAGCAATACGATAAAGATAATTGTGATTTGAAATGATTCATGACAGCTTCTATTCATTTCCTTCTCAACAAAATCAATGGGATTGATTTTAATTGGTACATTTTAGTAATTCTTTAAATACTACGTTTTCAGCAATAATTCTTTTAAGTATTAACTATTCCTTCAGCTCATACTTTCATTCATTCATCCCATGAACAATTTAAGTATTATTGTGAGCGCAATTAAGTTGAAAAACAAAGGAAATTTAATTTCTCTCAAGAAGGAATTATCAATTCTCAATAAATTCTCCTTCTTTCTAATATCTCCTTTTTCTCATAATCTTTCCTCTTCTATCCTAATCTATCCTCTTTCATCTTATTCTATTTATTTTTGCTAACTTAACAGTTTTATACTCTCTCTCTCCCTCTCTTTCTGAATATAGAGAGAGGGAGAGAGAGAAAACTAAGTTGTAATATTTCGAATAATAGCTATAATCCACTTCTTCTCCTTTTCTTATTCCTTTCTTCATTAAAAAAATCTAATGCTAATAGTGCAATTTAAACGATTTAAAAAAAAATAATGCTCCATTTAATTTTTTTGAAATGTAGTGTATGAAGAAATTATAGAGCTAAAGTATATTTCTTAATTATTAATTAATCTAAAAGAATAATAATAAAATCTTTGAATGATAAACAGACAGACAGACAGACAGACAGAAAGATGTCAATGTATTATTATTATAGATTATATTGAATTCAATATAAAATCATTTCTTTTTCAAATGGAATGATTTAAGAATAAGAAACTAAAAATTGGCAAAAGGAAATTTTCATTGTGAAAATTATTTTATTTAAAAAGAAATTTTCAATGGGAAAATTTTCTATGCGAAAATAAAATTTCTTCTTTTTATACTTTTTGGATGTTAAAAATTAAATGAATTATTTCTGTGCGATTATTACAGAAATTAGTAATATTAATTTATTGACAAATAATTGATTTCTTAAATTATTTAATTTAAGTATTATCATCGCTAAAAAATAATAATATCAATAGAGCGCTGATAATTATTATCATTGTTGTCATTGGTATATTATCAGAGTTCATTGCACCTCTCAAATTGCTATTATTATCATCTCTGTTATCACTGATGGCATTATGCATATTTATCTTTATTGAAAAATAATATATCTAATCAGTTTTTATCTATCAGTAATTATCTATTACTCTCGGTAATACATTTAGAATTTTAGCTGCGACATTCTGTTAAACAAAAGTTTGATTTCCAAATATCAACAACCGCTTTTTTAATCCTCAAATTCTGCATATGCAACTGATAACTTCTTTTGTAATCAGTTATGCATTTTTATAATAAATGTGCAGCGGAAAAGTTTGTCTTTGATTAATATATCCAATTTAAAACTAAGCAAATTTTTTGAACTTCTTTTATTCACTGAAATGATAATGGAAAGAAAAAGAAAATTTTTTATATTTGCCCTTTGCCCTTTAATTTCATCATTAAAAAAGGGCAAATGTTATGCTTTGGTGTAATGATTTTATCAAATTTGAATGAAAGAGACTTTTAAGATAAATTTTAAGAATTAAAAAAATTAAAAGTGAACCTTAGAAATTCCTCGAAACTTAACATTTTATCTGTTCTCAAATCAATTTTCCATATATCCCAAATTTTATTACTTGTGAATTGCAAAAATTTAAATTGAAAATTTATATATTTAAGTTGAAAAATGCATAACATATAATTAAATTGAAACTAAAAAGTTTAAATGTCAAAGATCTCCGCAAAAATTACCTTAAAAATTAAATTAACTTTTATAATATGAAAGAATGAAAAGAAACAGAGCGATAATTACCTGAGCGCTTTTGAAAAGACAATAAAAAAAAATCATTTAAATTGATTAAAGGTTGAATTTCGAAGTGGAAAATGATGTGAGAGAGAACGAAAAACGATAATATACTTTGCAGGTGAATAAATGAAGAAGCATAATCCATCGTATATATTATACCATTCAGTCGTATCGGTGCAGACAGTATGGATTATAAATCACTGAGTGATAAAGCAGACTTGATATTGGTGCTGGCACCATCTGATTCCAGAAAAAAGATCAAATAATTCAAGATGGTACGAGAAAGCATATTATTTTATAAATAATCAAATTTTATCTACGAAAACTTGTCAATTTTTAAAAGAAAATCTTAATAATGATAAAAATTTTAGTAATTAAAAATTAAAAAAAATAAGACAAAAGAAAAGATTAATATGTAACATTTACAATTTAAAATACTAAGTTTAAGGATTCTAACATAAATTTTAATCGAAGTTTCAAATTAAGCATATTTTGAAAACTGATGAATGAATTATATTTCATTGCTTCATAAAATATAAACCATCCGGTTTTAATAATTTAAAAAAATATACAAATTAAGCATTCGTAGCTTCTGAATCCATTGCTTTCTTAATTTCTTCATTTAAATTTTTACAAATGCTTAAATGTTGTAAATTTCGAAAACAATTCTAATTATTATTATGGAAGGTGAACTGATCTTTTTATTATTTACTTTCAGAATGTATTAATATCTTACAATATTTAATGTAAAAAAATAAGAGCCTAACAGTTAATTGTCATAGGTTTGAATAAATTAAATTAAATTCAATAAGTTCAAAGAAATCTTTTTCTTTTCTCTTTTATGGTTTGAATTCATTTATTCTGAAATATAATTATATACAAGAAATTAAACTAAATGAATTGAAAGTGATAAACTGAATGAATTGAAAGTGATAAACTGATTAAATTATTCACTGCGTTAAGCCAATGATATGATTCTTGCCTTTTTTTGAGGATAGTACGAAAATTTTGTGATTTCATCGAAATTGCTAACATTAGAAATTAAAAGATTTGCAAAAAGATTAATCGATAAGATAAAAGTTATCATTTACATATAATATAATATAATATATAAACAATACCTTTTAATTGAAATCAAATAAAAAAAGAGAAAATATGGCAGAAACAAGAAAATATTAATAAACAGTGAAATAAATATCATTTAAAAGAAATAATTAGATGGCAGTGAGGATAAATGGAATAAATTGTCATGCGATATCAATTATGATTCTTAGTATTGCTATTATCCTTTTGCCGGATTGAATAAAAAATTAATGATGTTGGCTTGTTGAATAAAAATTGATAAATGATGTTAGCTTGTTGTTGCTCAGTTACCACCCAGCTGAATAATATTAATAAACGATGTTAGCTTGTTGTTGTGATCGTGCACTTCCAAATGTATCATTCATATAAATTTTCTTGTTAAAAAAAAGGCCAACCATATAAATTTCCCCAACAAATTTATTACCTTACATAGTTAAGATTAATTTTTCGATCTTATAATTATCAAAGAAAAAATTTTATTAAATTTTATTTTGACAAATTATTGATAATATTATGCAATTTTTTCATCAATTTAAAATCATTTAGCATAGTAAAATGAATAAATTACGCAAGCATATGTACTTTAAATGATGGAAAGAGCATTAATGATAAATTAGTTTGATAATTAATTTAATTATCCAAATGTGAATAAATATATTACTATTCTATTAAAGTTGATATTTAATGCTGCAAAGTACTAAATTTTAAATTTGATAATGTATTGCAATAACAAGTAATGTGATTCGATCGATTAGAAAAGAAATAGAATTGAATAGAATAGAAAAAATAATGCTTAATTATATCATATAGCTAAAAAGTTTATCAATACCTACAATAAGTATCTCTTACAATCAGTTTTCCCATTACTGTGTTCTGTCTCCAATAGTTATCTTTAATATTAACTAAAATGCAAATTTTCAATTACGCTTAACAAACATGCACTCTTTATAATGAAAAATATGAGGAAGCTAATTGTATTAAAGCATTTAAAATAATTGATGTACACATTTAAGAACACATTTATAGCTGAAGCTGAAAAATAATCACCAATTTAATTAATTAATTCGCTTATCATAATTATATATTAAAATTAAAAGGAAAGAAATAAACATTTTGTGAAGTATGTAAGAAGTATATCAGGTAATTGACAATGTCATAATGTTAAGAAGGAATGTGAAAAGATTTGTGTGAGAATAATTTTTTTCATTGAAATGCATTTATTCTATGAATGATCGAATCGGATCGATCCGTTCTTTTCAAAATAAACGATTTCTTCTTTTTGCGTCATTTACCAACAAAAATTTTATCTTTCATTTGATTTATTTCAATCTAATTTAAGCTGTCAATTATTTTTTGTTGTGAATTAAAAAAAGTTTATTCATTCATTCGATGAAATCGTTTTTTCCTTCAATTTCATTCATTTTAGTTAAATGAAATTATTTTCAATTTTTAGATTTTTATTAAACGAAAAAAAAATATTCAATTCTTGAATATTAAAAAATTATTTTAAATATGTGCCGAAAATTCTTAAAGATATATTAAAACAAAAAGAAATTAAATTAATTAACCAAATGTATATTACTTATTTAAAATTGGAATCATTTTAAAATGCTTATTACTCTAATATGCATATATTGAAAAGAAAAAGAGAAAAAGCTTACTATTTGAAAGTGTTCCATTCGTTTTCGAGCAGATGTTCCGATCACTGAACAAATGTTGACAGTATTTTTCTCATCTGACAGTTTTCGCATGAAAAATAAGTAAAAAAAAATATTACAAAATCATTTTATTTCATCCATAAATTCAATCTTTGCTTATTTTCTATTATTTCAAATATTTTATAAAATATTTTTTGATATAAATTTATTCAAAATAATAATAAATTATCAAATTAATTCATTCCAATAAAAGATCGCTCTTTTTTTACTTTTGAAATCTAATATGTATGATATATATATATATGTTTGATAATATTTTATCTATCAAATTCTCCTTGAAGATTGGTAACTGAACTTTCCCTGAAGATTGTAAATGAAAGAGTCGTTGATTTGATATGGTTGGAAATGAAAGAGTCGTTGATTGTTGATAATTATGCATTGAATATTTGGATGAGAGAGGAATTAGAAAGTCTCAATGAACTTATTTTATATAGCATTTCCAACATGCTAATTTTTAAATTAATAAAATTTTAGTAAAATATTTTTTTCTTCTTAAAAAAAAATGCAGAACGTTTGCAAGTTGACTAATCTATTTTCACTCTAACTTAAAAATATACAATCAACATTCTAACAATTGGCTTGTTAGAAAAGTTTCATAATTCATAACTGCTCCTCTAATTTCCAACTATTCTACTCTCTCTCTATCTCTCTCTTTCTTTTTCTCTCCATTTTCTAATCTAAAAGAAAAATAAAATTTCTCATTTTGTTTCTATTCTTCGAACATATGTTCGTTCATAGTTCTCTCTCTCTCTCTTCACTTATATTAAATCATAAATGTGCTTAAAAGGAATCAAAAATTTTATTTAATCATTGATTGATAGCATTGATTAGTTTATCTATGCTTCAGAAAAGTTAAACTAAAACTAATTATTGTTATGTTTGAAGCCTAATAATTGAATTTTTCAAAAAGAAATTTTGTTTGAATCTTTATTTTTTTATGTTTGATTAATTTAAATATTTCAAAGATTACTTTTATCAAAATTAACATTTACTAATGGAAGATCTATTTCAACAATCTTTCTGACCAAATCATTTCATACAATAATAATTTACCTTTCATTTGGGAGAGCAAACAAAAGTTTTTGAAAGGCTCAAAGTCCTAAATCGAAGTATTAATAATAACTGACATTCTAAATATTATTCAAATATTTGTGAAAATATTAGATTGAATTCTTTGATAATTTTTTGCATCTTTTCATTCCTTCTTTGGAAAGAAACTCTCGCCACTGAATGTAGTGAACAGGGAATGTTGTTAATCTAATAATGGTAGGACTCCAGAATTGTCGTAAACGTTGTGAGAGCAGTAATTCCTCCACGCGATCATCCTTCTCTAGGAATGTCGGCCGTTCAACGCTGTGATCAGATGAAATAGGAGTAGCATACCTTCCAAATTTAATTTTGCTAAAGTTGGAAAAATTTCTGATTCTGATGGAATGGTCGGAAGACGACGACGAACATGATCGTTATCATTTCGCCAAACCATTTCCATTAAACTTTCATCAAATCAATAAATATCTTTCTCGCTTGATCTCGATTAAAGTACATGAACCTGTAAAAGTAGTAATTAAAAATTGTATTTATTTGGAGAACTATAAATCATACAACTATCTTCAAAATTTAGCATTAATTTTATAAATAAAATGGAGCAGAGTTATATAAATCTTATTTTATATTGCTCACTTGAAATTTAATATTAGATTTCAGGGAATTGAATTAGTGCAAATTGATACTTCTAGAAATGTTAAGAAAGGAAGATAAGTTAAAATAATTTGAAATTAATAGAACCAGCAAAGATATTTCCTCAATAACAAAAATTAATCATGATTTTATTCGGAAATATTTCAAAATAATTCTAAAATGTTGTAAAAAGTTTACTTATTGAAAATTGATTGCTTTGTTTGCGCCAGACATAATTAAAATTTTAATTATATGATTATACCCAAAAATTAAAATCAAAAAATACAATTGTTAATTAAAATGAAAATTTTAAATTTCAAAACTATTACATTGCAAAGTAAATTGATTGATTAGTGATGTGAGACCAATAGGAGGAGGATACAAGTTGATACTGAAACATTTAAATCAATTTCATTGTTCGAGTTTTATTTTAAAATATTTTTTATGAAAAACTTTAATTTAATAAATCCATAGAAGTATTATATATTCATATGATCCGATATTGCTGCCAAACTTTTAGTTCATTGTAAACAAATAGAAAGCATCCGATTGCAAAAGCATTCCGAAATTTATGTTACACTAAAAATATTTCAGAATTTATGTTTCGTGACTGCAATTGAACATACTTGCATGTACAATTGCATCTGCATTTACAAGGCCTCAGCACAATGATTCTTCTATTCAACATCTCCTACAGATCGAAATAACAACAGAAAAACGGCCTTAATAGTGCTTATCATTTTTAATTTTAATTAACGATAATTTGCCATAGGCTGAACCTTATCTTCTTCATATAAGCCTTTAGAATATTCTTATAGTTTTCTTAAATTGGATATTATTATTTTTGATCACAATAGACTTCGAAATCAATGTAGTTAGGTATTTAAAAGAATGGAATTATATAATTTGTCTTCAAATTTCATATATTTTAGGATACATAAAGTATCCGTAAATTTGTTAAACAAAAAAGTTCTTATTGTGATGAGATTATTAAAATATTGCTTAATTTCTCTTATATCTAAATCTGATTTTCGACATGAGTAATTATCATTTTCTGAAATTTTGAAATATTTATTTTGAGTGCCTGTTTGATAGGATGTCTCGAATATTTATCAAATATTTAAATCTGCCTCAGACATTCAAAAAAATAAGCCCACATGGACGTATCTCGCGGAGAACAGAGGAGGAGACAGATCGAAAGAAAAAACTGATTAATTTTGAAAACAACAAAAAAGCATTTTGTTTCTAAAAGCTGATAAACATGAAATCAATTAAGGCGGATTTAAGACATACTATAATATATATGTATTATTAATGGTGAACATTATCTATTACGATAAATAAAGTGATAAACAAAGGAAAAAGTTCTAATTAAAATTTGAAATCATTTAGAAATTTAAAATTATATAAATTATTAAAATTAATCGAATATTTATATTCGTCTCATTTCTTTACTTATTTCCGTTTTCAATTTTGCAATCAAAAAATGAATGAAAATTCAATTTCTAATTAATTTTAGAAGAATTTTAAATTGATTGAATCATAAACTTTCTTCTTATAATTTTTAGCAATTTACTACTTAGTGAAAATGAATATTATCATAAAACAATTTAATATGAGATGAATGGAATTTACTATGAAAGTTAAAATTGATTAATGATTCAGTGATAAATTAAATGTTATACCAATTTTCAGCCTCTATCAGATTTATGCTTATTTAAATTAAAATTTTGATAGAATAAAATGATTCCAAAATGATTAATGTTCGAATTTAATTGAATCATTTATCTTATGAAATGATTCCATCCATAAGCAATGCTACAAAAAGAAATGATTTCGTAAAAATTGTAAAAGAAATTTTAAAATATTTTAAAATTGAAATATAGCGAGAAAAACTGATTAGCAGGAAGTTAAAAAAAGAAGAAATTGTTAGGACATATATGTGTGATGAATATTCGTTCGATTTATTATATAAGAAGTCGTTATCGATGCTATTTATATATATATATATCATTTCCCTGTTATTTCCCTGCATGGTTTCATGAGGGACATTAATTCTCAGAAATTTCTTTTCCATTATAAATCGAAACCAACAATTTTTGACTGAAAGCATTTCTTTAAATTTTTGTCGCTAAATTTGAATTTTGATTCAAAAATTAATAATTGAGCTTGATGAGACCATTGAAATTTTATTATAATCCTACAATATATTATTTGCAAACATATATACACATTTGATTTAGTTTAATCTAATATAGTCTAGTCTAGTCTAGTTTATTCTAAATTATCTCTTGAAAAACTTGAATCTTCATGACATATGGATAGATCAGCTTTTTTCATAAGATATCATATTTGATATTAAGCATATATTAACAAAGCAGATGCTAATCAAAAATTGATCGATTTAAATATTGAATTCAATTTTTAGAAAGATTTCTTCTGAAATTTAATGATTTCAAAATGTTAAGAAGAAAGAAGAATTCATTAATGATATCGTACATTTGATGTTTTATTGAAAATCGTAAAATGGAAGTAATCATGAAAATAAAACATATTACTTATTGGCATAAATATCAACTACTTCATTTATTTTACGGTGATCCAAGCATTTCTTTCTAAATAGTATACTGTATAGTGTCAACTTCAATCATAAAATTTATTTATTCGAAATTTGCTACAATGACAAAAGCAGCATTTTCTGAACTTTTTTTCCTAATTTCAACAGATCTTGAAGTGTTCCCTTCTATTCCGAAACTTTGAATGCTTGAAACGTTTTCACAATGAAATTTTCACTAATCAGTCAAATGATAATGATTACATATTAAGAGATAATGATGACGATATTAATATTAAATTGATAATGGATATTGTCTTAGTGATAGAGTTGCATTTGTTCTAAGTATCGAACATTGAGAATGTAAAACTCCAATCCAAAGCTTCTAATAAACTATTGGGATTAGAACTGGTTGTACGGATGGTTATGAATTCCTTTTTTCATATTTTCTTCTCCCTTCTTTATTTTCATCTTTGTTCTTATTAACCGGTTGTATTTTGCTAATCGAGTATTTCGCCGATTTTTGCATCATTGGTCACAACTTGAACAGCATAGTTATTAATTGTTAATTTAACGATATGCTTCATCAAAGTAATTAATTTAATTAATTACCCGCATTAATATTTCAATAATAGTGATTTTCCAATGACAATAACAATCAAAATTACAAATGATCATCATTTAACAGAATCCGTATTTCTCAAATTCTAGTAATAATGAAGGTTTTTGGTTAGAGGTATTTGCCTAAACAATGATTATGGCCAAGACAGATATGAACGTAAGTGTACAATGAATGAAGTGGAGGAAAGAAATTGAGTTGCCAAAAAGAGAATTGACCAAGTGGGAGAATAGGTGATTTATAATGCACATCTAATTTACTAGATTTATCACTATGCAATTCTATCATCATGCTTTCCGAATAACGCTCGTCCTTAATTGTATTGCGTTGCGTGGATTACAGGGATGTCACTATTGTGCACTGTTATTAGACTTCATAATTATGAATGTTGGACACAACGTGAATATGTTGTTTACATACCACCGCTCTAATTTGTAACCATTAAATCGAAAATATAAAATTTGTCTTAAGTATAATACAGCAATAATGAAAACAAAACATGTTACTTATTGGCATAAGTATAAACTATTTCATTTATTTTACGGTAATCCAAACATTCTCTTCTAAATAATGTACTGTATAGTGTCAACTTGAACCAAAAAATTTATTCGAAATTTCTAGAATGACAAAAGCAATCATTTTGTTCTTATTTTTGCATTTCAAAAAGAACCTGAATTTAAACAAAAATGTTCATCATTTGAAACAAAAAGAGTTTGTTCAAAATATTCAAAATATATCTTTTATGGAGTTGTGCAATTATCGATGACTATTACAACAAAATCACAAACTATTCTATCACCGAACTAAAATTACAACAAAAAATCTTGTACCATATTTATTACAAGTTTAAAATCTCAATTTGTTTAAACAACAATGAATTATGGAAATCCGAAATAAGGATTGTGACTATAAATTCTCTACGTTATGTTTAATCTAATTTAAAATAGGCGAGAAGTAACACAAGAATAAAGATTTCAAGATGACAAATTCGGATTTGAAGGACCGAAATTACGCACTAGAAAGAATATTTATTTTTCACCTTAACATCAGAATGGGAAAAAATGGCACATAAAGAACACGTTACTTCAACCCTACACAAGTTTTAAGTGATCTTTCCATACAAGTGTCAATAGAAAACATACGAATAATAATTAAAAATTTACTAGTTAATACATATGCTCCGCATTATTATTTCGTGGCATTTTGATTTTCTCGAAATTTTTCATAATCATATCGTGCAATGTAGCAAAATGATTGCGCATTTCGGTTAGCACAAGACGGATATTGATGAACTGCTTCTCATCCATATCCAGAATTGCTCGACGGTAATCTTCCTGAAAAGAATTTTTCGACTTTTTTCCTGGGAAACATGAGATCGAACATAAATAAACTGCAAACACCGACAATTAAAATATTACAGTTACACGCCACATATATATCCACTGCAAAGTAAAGTCTTGGAATTTCAGAAACAAATATCACGTATAACTTACAACATGCGGATACTTGGCTACTTTAGTTACCAAACGAGCACGGCTAACGAAATATCGAGACATCTGATCAAGAAATGATGCTGCTTCACCCTCTACAGTACGCACCTGAAAGCCTCAAATTTCAATTATGTTCAAATTTCATGTGACGGACCCTAAACCTTAGAATGTAACAATATAAATGAACGAAGAAGAAATAGAAAAACTATGTCTGAATTTCAGAAATTGAAATTCTAAGAAAGAGGACGACCTCACTCAGAACTTCTTCTTGTATGGACACTCCAAAGTTGTTGCCATCTTCAATACGTGGAATCAAAAACAAGATCCACATTTTTACCTGAAAAATGTCAACTCATTTTCAGCTTACAAAAATTTTTAGGTTATAATGGTGCTTGATTATAGCGTAGCAAAAAATTCATTGCCGAAAATCTGAAACTTTTTTCCACAAGAAAAATAAAAATTTAAACTAAACCTTGTTGACCGCCTCAACTGAATCACGAAGTAAAGGACGTGTGATATCGGTGAGACTAGCAAGTTTTTCGTTACATTTAACGGTACCATTTATAAAACCATAGACTGAAGTGCCTGAAAACATGCATTTTCTTATTACATTATTCATGTAGCCATTCACTGGATATGAATAATCCTTTCATTATTAATTTTAAAAACCGTTAATTTTTAATAATTAATTTGAACTAATGGAATGCTTTGACGGCCAACACCACTCGCATCATCTCGAAGATCATGAACTATCTGAACTAATAAATACATGAAATACGAATAAAAAATAACCATGAAGTGGACGGATACTCGCATGATCTACTTTTCGCTTTTTTTTCAGTAATCCATCATCATTTTCATGTTCATTAGAGTTGCTGTCATTCTGCAATATATCATTTTTAATGGACGAATAAAATCTAGAAAAAACTTTGAACAACACACAGCAACAACTGCAATAATTTCAGGATCAGGAATTACCGCATATTTCATTAGTTCGTCCGAGTATGGAATTCCCAAGTCAATATTTGGTAAGAGCTCTGGCAATCGCTCATAGGAGAACTTCTCGTCCTGAAAAAAATGATCAAAACAAATAAATGAATTAAAATAAGAATGTTTACCAAGTATTAAAATATCTGCGGTGAAAAAAAAATTCGTTCGACAAATAAAACCAAACAATGTACAAAAAACACTGCTCGACACTTCCAAAAATTAACTGGTGAGCAAGCACCTTTTGATAGAAAAACTTTTCGAATTTCCTCTTATCATGCCAATGCAACCCAGATTCAAAGACAAAAACAAACACATTAAAAACAAACTAACCTCAAGTAGATTATTGAATTCGAGTACTTTTTTCGGAAATTCTTCTAATACAATTTTTTCTGCTTGCTTCATTAAATTTGTTTTGTATACATCAAGCTGAAACAATTTAAGGATAACGCTCTACTTTCTTCAAGAAGATCTTGGATATCTGAAATACTTGCTTACTCTTCCTATTATTCTCACTTTTATCAAGGGAAATGTGAAATTTTTGAACTTTACTCCTGTTTCATAAATCTGCTTCAGGTAAAATTCATATGACCATTGCACGTCTATTACGCACTTCAACTACATTTGAACCAGCAGCTTATATTGTCAATAAAATCTCCATTTGTATGGCGATGGCAAATTTCAATTCGATGTTTTTATTTAAAGTTCTTCCTTAACTTCATGACATTGCAACATTTTATCAATCAATGCGTGACATTTAAACTTACACCACATACAGCTGCATTATTCCGCTTTTTTTCAGATAACATCATGCAGCATAGGCCTAAAAATTAAACAAAATTAAGAGAATTTTTAAATCCATTAGAACAAACGGAAAAAAAGTCACACAACGCAACGCGAAGCCAAAAGAATAAAAAATATTGAAACTCAAATTCATCCTAAATATATTCACCTCAACATTCACGAATAAAAAATTCTCCCAAATTGTAGATCCAAAGAAAATACTTAGAATTACATAGGAAACAACGGATAATAAACTGGAATGTTTGGTCTACCAACCAGGTGTAAGCGAGTTAACAGATCAACAAAAGATTTCAGAATATTTATTACCATCTTTTACCTCAAATATTACGCCAAATTTTAAGTGTACCCTATTTTCCTCTTATTATTAAGCGAAATAAAAATTCATCCTGAGCGTATTCCAGTTGGTGTATTAAAGAAGATAACAATTATGCCCTGAATCCAATGAATGTACAGTGATGCAATGACAATGAGCATTCAGTAATCAAAATGAAAACAAATCACAATAAAAGAAAGTATACATTTGAAATAAGGTAAATGATCAAGACAGCTTCATCCTCATATAACATAATATTACTCCCCTCTCCACATTCCCTTATGTCCATTCCTCACAAACCTATCATCTCTCTCTCCCTTTAAACAAATATCCTTTAAGCAAGCTGTCGAAGAGGCAAAATGCAATACAAATGAACACAGATAATGGAGTTATGAGGAAAACTAATAAGGTTGTTTGAATTTGAAAATATCGATGACTGTCTCGTGACATTTCCTTAGGTTCAAATCACATGAACCAATTTCACAATGCCCTACACTTTGGAAATAATTTAATCCGCGTCCAATTTTTACCATCCAACCATTGCTGAACCTAAAAACAAACTATCAATCTTTGGCCAATAAAATAATGCAAGAAAAAGTAGAAACATACTTATAATATGAAAATACGTCTTCAAATAAAACCTGCCTGATCTCTCGGTCATGAAAATTCTCGTCGTAACAAATATCCAGTTCAATGTTACGGCATGCTAAACTACCTTTCAACTGCTGCAGTAAACCTTCTGCTCTGGCATCATAATGCGTCCACAGGCGTATCGTTTTTAAGTTTGGTGCATGAAGAACGAATAATTCGCAAAATCGTACGAAGTTCAAAACCTAAAGCAAGCATCCAACCTTTTAAAATTAAGATGCTTTATTCATTAACTGATAATGAAATTAATTCAAAGTTAGTTTTTATTTCCCATTCTCACTCTCTTGTCCTTTTTATCTAAGTCTCTTTAAACATACTTGATAAGGAAGCATAATGTAAGCATCTCGAACATTAATTTCTGATAGATTATTGTCGGCGCATCGTTTAAAAATTCTTTCATATCCAAAACCAGTCTGAAGATCAGTAACCTATTGCTTCAAAAAACCAAAATAAAAAACGTATATCTAATAAATTCATTGTAAATGATTCTTGTTTGAAAGCAAAAGCTTTAGACTTTAAATGCTAAGTAAAAGTTAGTATAGACATCCTAACAAAAAATAAATATGGAAATTTATAATTATGCAATATTAGCTACGGTTACGCAAACTGCGATTATGGAAATTTTGAAACTGTAAATTAGAATCAAATAAAAACTCCGAAACTGATGCTCTAACCAATGGATTTACAAAGTAAAGCCATACATCATTATGCATGATATGTATCTGCTGCACTGAGACTATTTCTGGCTTCATTTGCCCTTTTAATACCTCTGCTCTAGTCAAATACTTTGAAATTTTTTCCCGCAGAGCTTCTTTGGCACTTCCTACGGAGTCATCACCTGAAACGAATGGCATCACTTACGATTTCTGTTAATAGTATTAATAACTTTAAATGAAGTAAAGTTTTGTTTCAAAAATATAAAACAATCTGCTAATATGAGCGGAAATTTTTTGAAAAGCAAGATTAATTTCTAAAATGTAAATTATCTTCAATATTCATGTTAGTCATTACTCTAAAGACAAAACTAAAAAATTGCAACTGCGTTTTTATAAATCAAAATGAAACTTTAGAATCTAATCGGCATTTTAAAGAGAGAGAAAACTAACATGACATAGCCCCGAGTAACAAAGTGATACCCTCCGCATAATTCTCCACAGCTTCATCTTTTTTATTGTCTCGATCGAGAGCAACTGCTTTTTGCAAGATTGGCTTACTTTTGTCAATAAAAGATTGCATGTCCAATTTCATCAACTTCCATTTGTTGTTCTTCCTAATCTTCTTATACAAAACTGGAATTTAGGTTAGTCGACAATAAGGAATCACAGAAATGATATACTAAACTCTAATCGTTGAACATATGACACGTGGTAACCTTAGAACATATTATGTTTAAACATGCAATATAAAACCTTGAGAAAGAAAAACTCAAAGCACGGGGAGCAAATTTGTGTCACAAATTCCAGTAGGACACGAAACTCAGTAGGACTTATTTTTACTACTTATTTTTATACTACTTGCGATTTGCACAAGTTCCATTATGAATAAAAGAGGCAGGTAGATGAAGTGTTTTCAATTTTCAATTGGATCCCTCTTTTTCAATTCAAAAAACATCCTGCCCAATTACCTACAACTTCTGCAGCATTGCTTTTCACAACGTCATAACAGTCTTTCCCGTCTTTTCAATTGCAATATAGCATGCATCCACATATTACTTAACTTATCCATGCACTTTTCCGGAAGAATCTTCTCTCTTCTTTACAGATTATGCATAAATAAACAATTAATTGGAGAAATGATAGTGAAGAAATGGAATATATAATGCAATAATTAAACAATGTAATTTCTCGTATTTAGCCTTAAGCTCATTATAGTCGCTTATTTACGTACCTTAGTCGTCACGTAAAGTGAACTTTATCACGAAAAACTCAGGCATTAAGCTTCAAATCATTTAACTTCCGATCATTTCGTGCCGGATATCTCGCCGCAATTAAAGTCTCTCTAAGTGACAACACTAAGTTCTTATGCTAGGACGCTTTGAAAACAACTATCCTGAAAATTGTTCCATTTTTGAATCTTATGGTTGTGGTTGGTTGATGAAGATCGTCATCTGATAGTGATATTATCAATTTGCTTTTTAGCAAGCTTCAATTTTGAAAATAAAGATTGAAATTTGTTCCGAAAAGGAGGATTGATACCACATCACTTGCAAAGGCTTAATTAATTTGAACTATTGCTCAGCTTCTCAGTCGCGGATTTTAGAAATGCAACTTTTGCGACTTCCATGGACCTCTTTTCCTGGGACTTTCATGGACATCTCTCATTTTCTTTATTTTTGCATCACTTTTGTCTTCTAACGATGGATTCTGTCTGCTATTAAAATAACAAGTAATATCTTTTTTTTCCCCGAAATTTTATACATAGATTTCAAATTTCTATTTATTATTAATTGCGGAATGAAATACCGACAGCCACTTGCCACCAATTTCAGTCCATAGTCAACTGGCCTTCGGTTGAACCTTCACCATGACAACGTTACCGGCAATAGCTTACACCATCATTTAAGCCAACATGATGAACCATATTCATTATACTGTTCTGTTGACTCTCATCTATAAATCGTGCACAAGTTTTCTGGATTTTCCGAGCGACAACATTCGTAGGTAAGTGCTAAGGAAAAAAAAATTAACAGATAAATTCTCTGATGCTTGTTCCAAAATATTGATTTTGTTTAGGAATGTATTTGTTATCCTCAAATGCTTTCCTTAATAAACAATCTGATTTTTAATTTTCAGTTCTAATGAAAATATTTCAACTACTCAGTTATCTACTTGAAAACTATTTAAGATTGCTTGGAAATATTAAATACTGAAGATCAGTTCTTGTTTTTAATTTAGATTACCAGCACTAGATATTATCGGTGGTTATCCAAGTTTTTTCGGAGCAATTTATGTATATGATGGCCATATCAATCAAGATTCGAACCGTATTGGACCAAAGTCAAATCGATTTTTACCGCTTTCAACAGTTTTACATTTTACTGTTAAGTAAATTTTTAAAGTTCAGTAGTTGAATAAAGTATCCGATTTAGAAAGTGTTGGCTTCGACATAATTATTTCACCCAATAATTAATTGCTTGTCGCGTCAGATTTTCTGCCCAAGGAGCCGTGGGAAACCGCTGGTTGGGTTTTGATCCACAACTTTGAAATTGGTGAGATGTTTTTCTTGCAAACAAGGGAAAAGAGATTTGTCAGCATTGTAAGATAAAAAGAAATGAAGTTTTTTAGAAGTACTGGCTGTTCGAATCTGACTTCTATCAATTTGGAATGTGAAGCAACATGCCCAAAGTATGGTTTTTTTGTAAGCAAATTGTGAAAGTTCAGTGTTTACCGATCTTTAAGCATCAGAATTTCACGATGAATTCGTTTCTAAAATCTACTTTGGATCGTTGTTGTATTTACCGCTGGTTTCAACCACGTTCACACTTTGATCATTTGCTTGATTTTCGCTGACCTGCGGCATCTCAAGCATTAACGGAGGAGACCATACTTTATACATATGTAGTATTATAAACTCTTCAGGCTATGTTATAAGTTCATGTGAATATCAGCATTTCCACGCAGTTACAATACGTCAACTTGTACAACTGCAGGACTGTACAAGTTGATCGTACTGCAATTGCGTAAAAGCAAATTTCTGTAATGATGCATGAATTTCAGGAATGATCCAAATTGTACAATAGAGCAGCAAGCTGTAAGTCATTCCTATGCTATTTTTCTTTTTTTGCACTAAAACTTTCTTGAAATTAGTGCAATTTATTAGGAAAAGAGTGCAATCATTATCGAAACTTCCGAATGTCAGTTCTTAAAAACAGTTACGTTTAAACATTTAGTTTCAAGCATTTACTAGTTAGTTTATCATCATGTCTTACTGTATTACATTTTTGTAATTGAAAATGGAGATACGCTAATTAAGTAATCCATGGTTTTCTTGTCTACATGTAGATAACATGTTATAGGGTGACGAGGAAAACTTATTGAAAGCAGCAACAATGTTTGAAAAAAAAAGTATCGATGGCTATGTTTATGGAAATAAAGTACGTACAAATGGCCAACTGTCAATCTTAAGACCAGGTAATTATTCCATTTTATATCTTTATCATTTTAACGATACTTGTGGATGGCGAATTTTGACGATACTTCTCATTAGAATGTGAATTACCGTTTTTTGCTTGATACTTTTTGTGCTCTTTTGAAACCCTTGGTATTTCACAAGCAGTGTTATGAATTAATTTTCCAGCAGTTACTTGATTAAAAAATTACTCCAATTTTAGATGCCCGTGGGCTTTGCACGCATTTGTATAAGCAATCTTTGAAGTACAAAGTAAATTATACAACTAGCTGTCGATGGCACTTCCATAGTGAAAAGGTCACATTCTTGTTATTCTCAGTATAGTATGTGAAATCAATAAACATTCGATAGCTCACAGTTTCTTAAAAAAATGCAATTCCAGGGTTGCGATGTCAATGACCTGATAAAATTTCTTTCGAATCAGATGAATAGTACCGAAATATGTGATCAAACCGGTAATCAGTGTGTCGTGCCAATCTTCAGGTAGGAGATAATTGGTTATCTGTTAATCCTAATTGCAATAATCAAACATCTACTTTGTTCTACATGACTACGCTCATATATTCAGTCACACTGAATACCTCGTGGATAACCCGTTTATGAACAAAATTTAATTTTTGCTTTAGAAATATGGTTACTATATCAAGCGATGAAAAATGTGATAATTACTCTGTAATGAGCGTTTGTTTGGCTACCCAACAAGGATCAATTCTGGGAATGCTAATCGAGTCAGTTGCGTTTTTATTTAAATAGACATACTGGAATGTTGATCAGTTATTTTACGAGTGCTACTAACTAATTTCCTGTCATAATTAGCTTTCTTCAACAAATAATTTCAAGCTGCTATAAAGAGACTTCAACTTATTCTAACATTACTTCCGATTTTTCGGTTTGAAGTCAAGTATGGAAGAATATCTGCTCTACTTCCAAACTACCCACATGCAGACAGTCATAAGTTCGGAAATGACCAAGTTGTTTACAATACAAAATCTTCATTAATTAAGAAACTTGTAGTAAACTCATAATTCCGTACTCATCCATGTCTCCAAATTGGTCGATCGAAATGAGTAAATCAGATGCAAATTAGCCCAAATTTTGATTGCTGTTCCTTTTATACCATTTTTTCACTTTTAATTCAGCTGTTTCTTACGACTACTGACCTCAATTTTCCTTTGTTCAAACTACTTAACAGCTATTTTCTATCGTCCAGTCTCTTTGACTAAGCTGCTTAATGACTGCATCCTGTTTGCCCATTGACCTTTTGAACAATTATGAATAATGTAATTTGTATCAGAGGCAGAACACAACACTTTATGTAAAGGTACAGAAATTTGGTTTTGGTTTTTCTACTAATAAACAAACTTTAAGCATTCATTTTCCCCAGGAACCATCGTGTAACGAAGAGAATATTAAAGAACTTTCCTTTGCAAAACCTAAAAGTAATCTTTTATTTAAAATCATTGCCTTCATAAAATATTTAGATTTTTACCATCTTCTAATAAGTGTCGCGAAAACTACTGTATTTTGACAACAAAAATATCGTTCCAAGAAGTTTCACAACGATTCCTGGACAAGATAAAAATGTCGAGGTAATAATCAATATTCTCAAAATGAAGATTCTAAGGTTAATACACTAAAAATGTCCAAGTAATCGACATTTTATATAGAAATAAAAAAAACTTATCTCAGTGTTTTAACTGAAACATCTGAAAAACTGTCTTGGCTTTAAATCTAATGCAAATTATGCTTAACGATTGAAGTTTAGAACTGAAGAATGAAATCAAGTCAATTCCCCTCCGACCAACAGCATTTTTGCAGATATGAAAACAGCGAAGGTCGCTTCCGGTGTCCATCTGAAGTAACATGTCCAGCAGAATTATTTTATTTCTTGAATACATGTGATCATGGAGAATTTTCAACACAGTTTTTTGTCGTAATACCTCTTCTTGCTTTATTTTTGTTGTATGTATCATAGAAAAATTTGAGCCTACATTCTATAAAAATTAAATGTTATAAACGATTCTGTGGTATAGATTAATGAATCAGATAGTCAAACTCGATTAAAAATGTTTAAATATACAGTTGTTTTCCCCTCAAAAAAAAATTAGAATTATTTTGGGACAAGAATACATGTGAAAATGGTTACTTCCGTCAACTTGACCACGTCATGCAATTCAAGATTGTTCTAGTTCTTGATCTAAATCCTTTTTTGCCGATGATTATAAACATCTTATTCCAAAAAAAAAAAAAACATTTTGTGACATTTTGTTCTACTAAATCGCAAATAAAGAATGAAGGACAAGAAGTTCTTGTGGCGTATAATACGATTGTTTATAGTGTCTTTCTTTTCACCAACTTATCTCGATTTTTCATTCATGTCATGATTTGCCGGGATATTCGTTTGATCCGTCCATGTACTTTTCTTCTTTTTCTGTGCTTTTCGACGTTGGTCTCGAACGAACTGGAAAAAAAGGATGATCAATACCTATACAATAATTTCAGAAGTTTATCACTAATCTAATGAGTTTAAAGTACCATTCCGAACGGCGATTTTGCGATAATCTTCCGCTAAAGGGCTTTCCTCCAGCATTCGTCTTTCCAGTTGGGAACACATAGTTGACCTAGATGCCGGAAAGCATTCTCGAGCACTCAGTTTTTTAGTACCAGCGCAATAAATTGTGCTTCTGTCTTTAGAAATTACAACTTATCTTACACTTATCTTGGTCTAGTATCGATAGACTAACCCTCTTGATTCCTAAGCGTATTTTGCTCCATTTTGGTTGTATTTCTTCCACTGTTCGAGTCCTGCGAAAATTTCTGGCTAGTTTTGCGATTCTGTTGTCTGTATGATCGATAAAAAATTCAACTTTGAAATTGGCATTCGTACTCATCCTCCCGAAAACGAGATGAAGTCATTTAGCGCATTCTTGCAAAGAAATATAAAAGCAAAATTAAGAAACCTGAGACACCAGGAAATCTCAGACAGCCCACTCAGCAGTATCGGATTGACTAGCAAAAATTCACGCCAACTGGTTTTCGGCTGTTTGCTGTTAAATGCCTGTTTCGTTAAAATTGTGAAATTGAAGGGTGGTGTAAGGGAGAGTTAAAGATCGAGAGAACTTAGAAATAGGGGTCAAGCATTAAAAAATAGTGTACAACTGAAGGATATCAGAGTGACAGTTTGAAAGACTTAGAGATTTTGTGAGTATTTCTAATTCTCGTTGAAGAGACGGCAGAAATTGAGAGTGATTGTGATGTAAAATATTAGCATGGGTCGGTTAGTGATGGTAAGTTGTATTTCATTGGATGACAAATAAGTGGGAGTGCATCTCAGATAAATTTCGGTCTTAATCATTTACGGAAATGCGGTGTGATTGATGGTAGTAAATGATAGGTTAGGAGTTGGCGCTAAGTGATATTCATATTTAATGCTTAGTGCTTACGTTATATCTAATATCTTATATGTAGCAGCGTATATATGCTTGAATTAATGTGCCTTATCGTGACAAACATGTTTAATGTATTGCTTTCTATATATAATAAACTTACACTTCATAAAGTGTGAATGACATAGTAATAAAACTTCAGCTGACCTTTTATTGTATTTGCTGTTGTTATTCTAGATGTAGGTTTTATTTTAAAGTCATAATAAGTATAAGTATGCCATAGTCGTTCAGACTTTAATGAAGGTGAAATGAATCTGTAAGATGAGTCATTTAACCTTTCTCTTTGGTCTAGTAGAGATCTGTTTTATGGACATTGTTCGAATTTTATAGTAGAAAAGGATCATGAATTGATTACATTGTCACAATATTCTTTTGCAGGTAGTCAGTACGATGTTGAATCTTCAGAAACGAATCAATGGTGTAGATGAGGAAAGAACATATTTGGGGACACGGATATCGATTCGAGATAAATTATTGTCGCAAGGTCTGTATTTGTTATCGGCTTAAATTTCGTTTTATATAGATGCTTACGTTATATAGATGCTTATATATATATATATATGTAGTGTATGAATATATATGTGTAGTGTATGAATATATACATATACACGTATATCTGTGTGTTGGTTACATGTATAGTTGCACTGGAGAACATATTTTGTTTAGTATCAAAAAATGCTCCCATTCATGTTTAGCTGAACCATACAGTGTCTTGGTTTTACGGGATTGATCGTCACTTGCTCTGTAGTAAATGTCTTTTGTTGGTTTGACATATATAACTTCGTTGACTTATGTTTTTAGCATGACTGTGAACCGTATTTCTTAAGCATGTTACTCGCATTATATGACAGCCTTGCCAAACAGTTGATGATTACGTTGATATTAAACTAACAGGTTAATGCATCACTTCGACTTTTGTAAATAATTTTATTGCTCTTTTTAGAAATAAAAGAGCTCGAATCAAGTCTTAAAAAAGTGCCTTCGTGTAAGTTACATTTCCCATCAACATCTGCATTGTATAATATGGAACTTACTGTCTCACCTGTGGAAGGAATTTATAAGGTATGTTGTTTCTAGCGTAAAATAATATAATAGTAAGTAATATCCTGAAAGTTGTAGTGTCTTTCTAGTTTCAGTTGTGAGTTATAGGAAGCTAGATAGAATTTTTTAACCTGATAGTATGGGAAAAAACTATTTATATACCAGTAAAAATTTGATTTTATTATTAATTATTCATCAATTTGCGAATTATTCAGTAGAATTTTTTAATGAACTAAAAAACTTTTTTCAATTAATGAAGTTTCAAGTGCATTTCTAGTTAAACGTATTTAAACTATTAAACTAATTTCAGGGCGGGATATTCAAGTTTACTATATCAGTGCCACCTGAATATAACAATGTACCACCCGTAGTGAAGTGTTTAACTCGTATATGGCACCCAAACATAACTGAGGAAGGCTCTATATGTTTATCATTATTACGACAAAATAGTCTTGATGGTTATGGTATGGTACTTAGATTGTTCTGACGCAAGTATAAAAAGACTTGATGCAATAGACTTGATGATATGTAATTGATGGACGAAGGGTTACTGTCCAATGATATACTAGCGTTCAATCAATAGAAACTGGGATATGATAATTTGTGTCAGGCTTTTACTTTATTATGCTTAGTGAAAACACTATTCTGGAAGTAGAAAATATATAAGTATGGTAATGCATTATTCTTTTGAAGAGATTTTTGTGATTTCAGGATGGATGCCAACTCGCAGATTGATTGATGTTGTACTTGGTTTGGACAGTCTTTTCACTGATTTGATCGACTTCGATGATGCCCTCAATGCAACAGCGGCCCAACAATGGTCCACCAATAAGGTGGTTTCATTTATAACATCGTTTTATAATTTCATCCTCAAATTTTAATCAAATCTGAACGGAACATTCTTGTTTTCTAAAAAAGTCTGTTTTGTGGTTATGAATATGATATAACTTGAAAATGAATTTAAACTGTTAAAACCAGAACAAATCCTGAATCATGGTATGATTTGTACGTTTTTAAACTCGTGGTAATTAATTCGGTGTTAAGCATAGTGTTGTAGCCAACACTGTCGAAATTTACTCCACAGAATTCAAATAGTTTTGAAATTGATCGTATTGTAAAGCAATTGTATGCTACATTTTATTTTTCATTATCCATATTCGGTATTATATTCTGCTTCGTACAAATAAAAAAGGTGAAAAAGAAACTTTCTCTTTCTAGTTTTCGGTATTAAAATATAGCTTGCAAAAGCCGAGAGTGTTTACCACTTCAATTGTTAGACCAAAGAAGAAAATAACATTTGATGTAAACATATAAATTAGTTTAATTCCATTATGAAAGTTTTTATTGCTAAAGTTGTACTGAGCTTTAGCAATAAAAACTTTCATAATGGAGCATGATTCCATATCATGATATGGAATCATACTGAATTTCATTTGATACGGAATTCCAACTATATGAAATGGTTTTCTTGATATGCGTCGTTTCTTTTTTAATGCCCTATGTTCTTACCTTATTTGCATTTTGAAATTGCGTCCCCTCCATGCATTTTATTTCAGGAAGCATACATTGCAAAGGTACGTGATTACATTGTGCGCTTTTGTCGGTGAAGAAGAATGAAGGAAAAAATGGTTTTATACAAATTTCGATAATATGATTATAATTGTGTTCTGACATTGTAATACGGTAATTAATTAAAAAAACTTTTTCACGAAGTTGAATTTTTGTATCCTATGATATCGAACTGCGTAATGATTATATTTATATGTGTATATTTTAATATTTTATAGTTGATTTTGAAATCTTCAATAATTTGGATAATATTTGTTGAGTAACTTAACTGGGGTAGTAATAGTTGTTAAAAATCTCCGCAATGCGTTTATATTGACTTAATTTTCCTTTTCTTCCAGATTGGGGATTCATGTGGTTGAGGAAGTTAAACGATTGCCATGTGGTTTTCGTTCGATATTCTTTAGGGGGAGGGGGGAGGAGGAGGAGGATTGGGGGAGAGGAGAAGGGTATTATGATTGATGTCTTTCAGATTGCAGACTTTTTTTAATTAAAATTAACTTGGCATTTGTAGTATAAGTCATTTATTTAAGCGATAGACTTGAAGCTTTAAATAAAAGTTATATCTTTATAGCAACTTTGAATGCTTGGTCTGCGGGAAATTAAAAATTGATGCGCTGAAAATCGAAGAGTGCTGCAGTCAACGTATCAATTTAGCTAAACCTGCGTAATTTTTTCTGCAACTTTACAATTAGCATTTTGTTACTTCAGTGAGTTTAGTTTTGCTAGAAATTAGTGAGTGTGCGGTGAAGACTAAATAAAATTTGATTTTATTATTAAAAGTTCATTTGATGGATTTCTTCACATAAGGAGGTATCTATTCCGCAAGGTAACATGATAATTTCGGTTAGATTCATTGCTTTGATATCATTTCTTGTTTAGAAAATTCTGGACCGCAAGGATCGTCATGCTGTTTTCTAAAACATACCAGTCGTTTGTTGAATTAGTTCAGTGATTGAGCTTATTATTTGTTTGCTTTGTAAGGTGGTAGATTTCAAGTTTTCATGTTTAATATAATCCTATTCCTTCGTTATCTCTTCATCCAAGCTTTTTATAAAGGAGATCGGACAATTGATTTTGTGAGAAAGAGGAAAGTATGATAAATAGCAATTGTGATTTTATAATAATTTTCACTAGTCTAATTTTCTTTTTGGTACAGGAGCAAATTACTTCCTTATTTATTAAAGATTTAAAATATTTGCTGAGCTTTTTTTAAATAAAGTGATGGATCATCAATTAGTGGCAGCACTTCTACTTCTTTTATCACGAAGAATCTACAGCAGATCGGAATGCATGTACGTTGTTGGTACTCTTGTTTGTCCACAAAAACCTATATTGGCAGGAAATGTGCAGATTGATTTGAAGGACGAAGACTGTAAGATTTTTGGTTGTAGTACGTTTATTTCGTATAATATTGTTATTATAAGTATCTACCGCATCAGAAATGAAAGAGTAAGTTGAAGACAATTATGTATGGACTTTATTTGCGATATCATAGTCAATATTTAGTACAGTATTGGTTTAGTAATCGTACTAACCTCCTGTAAAATAGCAAAAATTGAAGACAACTTATTTAAGGAATGCCAGGATAACTCACTTGATTATTATAAGTTTTTACCTTTAATTTTTGCACTCTGAATAGTAAACGGCTATTTTAGTAAGTAGCTTTCCTTTCCTACCTATTCTGATTATATTAGCTTGCAACATTCACGTAGTATTATTAATTGTATTATGTAAACTTATCACGTCTCGAAAGTTTTAATTGTTGTTGAAACAGTATAATGGGTTAATTAATCAATTAATTTTATTGCAAGTAATGACTTTTTGCAGCATTACTGTGGAAGACCTACGATCAAATGGGTCGAACTTGGTCCCAGTCTAATGGTTCATTTGTAATTTCTGGATGTGGAGCGGATTTCGGTCCATTCAATGTACCGGATCCGTATATTACTATTGAGCACGAATGTCCGAGTATTTTGGGGTCAATAATAGAAAGTAGTGGTTCAACGAGGAAGGTGCAATTTGCATTAACCAAAGTATTTATGCCAAAAATCTTGAATATCGGCAAAGTTTTTTTAGATGATTCAGATTTTTAAAATTGAACACTGTTCTAATTTCCCGTAGCAAGTAATATCACTTTAATTTATTAGTAAACAAGGTATTTTTCATTCAAATTCGTACAACTTAGATCAACATATAAGATATCGCTTTTTCTTGCAACACGAAAGATGTAGTCAACTCTAACATTCCTAAATGAAAAGTCAGGAAATTGGATGGGAGGAAAAAAATGAAGAAGTAATTAAATGAAAAGATCCTTCTGGGTTACAAATCTCATCTCATCATGAAAGCACTTTTAGCTTGTTTACATATATTTTTTGTAAACTGTTTGAATTTTCAAACATCTTGTTTGTTGTACGCTATGCTTTGTGATATGCTATACCTTTCGTCCCTACTACAACATTTTTTAACACTTGTTTTAACTTTTTGTCACAAACTTTTTCCTTATTTGTTCCAGAATTTTCTTTTATAATTACCAAAAAATATGGAATTGATATTATTTCATTTGGATAAGATTTAAAACAAGAGCTCCTCAGAATTCGCGAACAAATGATCGTTATATTCATCTTTATCAGTAATGGATAAAAGAAAGGATTAAGATACATGGTCTTTTTGATCAAAATAAAAATTGAAAAGTTTACATGTGCAAAAGACATGTCCGTTCTTTAATTAATAGTTCAAAACAAATACATTATTATCTTTTCATAATAACTTGGGCATGCTTCCTTCTCCAACAAATATCACTAAAAGAAAAATGGACTTAATATGGTTGTTTTGTATCGTACAACTGTTCACATAAAACGAAGCTGGTTAGATTATATCCCTTGAGTGAAAAGTTCCCGGTTATACTTTGTTTAGTGTTGTCATGAATATACTAGCATAAGAGGAATGGAAAATCAGTTGTTTGAGAGAAATAGAAAAGAACAAAGAAAGATATTTGTATTATTTATTTGTCCGAGAGCTGCCTATATTGGTCTATAGTGGCAAATAAAGCCTGAATGGTTTGCAACAAGCACATGAAACTGTTATACAAATAATATTATCATCGGTTTTCACTAAAATAACATCATTATTACCATCATTCTCACTGTTGTAATTATTGTGAGTTTCGACTATTAACAATCATCCTGAAAATCGAGATATGCTCTTTATCCAGACTTTCAATCCTTATGATACCATCTTTAATGCTACCATTATTGCCACTCATTTCAGTAGTACTGACAAATAAATATCAATTCTTGAATTCAATAGATTTTTTCAGTGCAAATTTTGTCAATATCGGTGAATCATTTCGAATTACCGCTAACGATCAGTAATTATCACTAAAGGTTTGTGAGATTTTGAAATTCGTTGAAGTGTATTATTGAGGAGGTTTCGTCACGTGTCGATATCACTTGTAGATTATATTTGCGATCATATTTGTGAAAGATATTATCAAATATGATAACTAATAGTTGTAAACAGCAGTAGTTCCTCCCATTCTGAATTTCGCATTTTTTTAGAGGAAAAAGCAAGGCTTCACAGTGATTTTCGAAAATAAGTGGCCAAATGGACGTATTCCATATGTTATTTCTTCCTCTTATAGTAAACTTACCAATTTTCGTTACTTTTAATCATATAACCATACCTTTTCAATTTCCTGTTTTGAAATATCGCTTTCAATTTGAAATATTGCAGACATCACTTATGTCTCTTTAGAAAGAATAGAATGAGGTAAGAACTTAATTTTGAGAAGAGAAAAACCTAGAATTTAAAGATATGACTGTGAAATTGCTATTTTTCAAAGATTCAAAAAATTTATCTATTATATCTATCTACCCTATCTAATCCATCGATCCAATCCTATCTAATCTATTCATTTATCTATCTACCTATCTATTTATCTATCTACCTATTTATTAATCTATATACCTATTTATCTATCAATTATTTTCTAGGAAAAATTCTTCGCATTCAGGAGAATGTCTAATTATAAGCTATTAATAATAGCAAAAATCATTTGAATAACATAAAAAAAAAACTGATGACAATAAAATATTTTGTTTTTC